TATTACTGCGCTGTGCGCCGGTGATAAAATAGGCGACAGACTAACATCTTCGGTAAAATATGATTGCTTCACACCTATCTGGGTCTTGTCTGACAAAATAAAATATTTCAATAAAACAGTAAGCTCTTAAAGACTAACTCGTATTCATCATCTCATTTCGATTACTGATCAACTAACTACAGTAACTGTTGACTACCTACATGAAAACAATGCACTGAACTTTCAACAAATTTCATCGAAATATGTATGAATAAAATTAAAAGAATAAAAAGCAAGGATCGGTTACTGCTATAAGAAAAATAGAAACAGAATAGTGTCATGCACAACATATATCATTACAATGAGCACTTTACCGAAGCGCATACGAAAGTTAACATAAATAATGCAGAGACAAACAACATACAGTAGAAGAGAAGAAAACAAAAAAATATAAAGGATTATGTTGTCAGAATAATCTTTTCCGAATACGAAATATATTCTGAGGCTACCATTGTGCCAATAGTAAACTTATTCAGAATCAGAATCCTCAATGTACCGCACTTTTCTAAAGAGATGACGGTCGGTTTATGACACCTTGAATCACAATAGACATTGATATTAGATAAATAAAACTGATAAAAGTTGTGGATTTTTTTACTTCAATGCCATCATGATAAAATTTTTATTTGTATGTTCGGTAGCGGTATTTTATTTGTAGTATGCTGCAAACGTCTACTACCACACATCACTCAAAACAAGCAAAAAATCATGTGAATGGTGGAAGGATGTGGATGTGGAGTGGGTCTGGTTGTGTGTATGAGTGTGCGTGTGGTGTGTGGATGTGAGTGTGGATTTTCTCTTAGTCCACACACTCACACCTAGTGTGCGAGACAATTGTGTGAATGGACAATTGTGTGCAAGACATTTGTGTGCAGAGAATTATGCGCCATATAATTGTGTGTATAACATTTCATGGGCAAATAAATATTTTTGGTCAAACAAATGAACATCATTCAACCCAGAGTAAAGGTACAATAAATAACAAAAATAAACAAATCAAGACGAGGTAAATCAATGAATAATTATAACATTAAATGCATGAGCAATGGCTTTCATTTTTTGTATATTATCGTTTGTAGGATCTTTTTAAATTCGTAAAATTTTGGATGCTGTATGTTGAGTTTTGATCCACTTTGGCCTTGACGTGAAGACTGTTACAGGAACGGGGGTAATAGAAAAAAGTGAGAGGGTGTCAGGAAATTTTTTGAGTTTCGACAAAGTGTATATACAATTGTTTGAAAAGTGGAGAGTGCATAACTTTTGTTTTTCGTTTTAAGATATTTTTTTTATATAATCTGCGATTTTTGCTGGAGAAAAACGAAAATTTTCGAAAAATGGGAAGGTACATACTCCCGCGCACCCCACAGTCGCTACATCCCTGGCCAGTTACCAACTGAGAAATTTAATCATCTAGGTACAATTGCTCTGTTTCAAGATTACTCAAAAAACAGGATATGCTGAATCCATGATGCTATTAGGTCGTCGATGGTACCGTTCGATATTGCTGTTTGTATAATTGAATATCGTCTTCTTACTCTCGTGTCTTTTGAATATATTTAAGAAAAAACGATCATTTACACATTATAATTATTTTTTATGTAATTAATGTAAATTACAGAAATGATCAGTTTTGTTCAGTGTGCATACAATTATCTGTTCTCATAATTGTCTTACATATAATAGTCATAGACCTTGTTGATGATACCTTGAGTCACAATAGAAATTGATATCATATAAATAAAACTGATAAAAATGTGTCTTTTTTTACTTCAATGTCATCATGATAAAACTTTTATTTGCATACTTGGTAGTGGTATTTTATCTGTAGTATGTTGCAAAAGTCTACTACAACACATCGCTCGAAGCAGGCAGAAAATCATGTGAATGGTAGAAGAGTGTGGGTGTGGTGTGAGTCTGCGTGTGGTTTGTGGATGTGAGTGAGAATCTTCTCTTAGTCCGCACACTCGCACTATACCCGCTCACACCCAAGATTAGTTTTTTGTTTTCTAATGTTTGTTTGAAACGGATTTTACTTTATTTGATGAGAAATCGAGAATATTTCATTTCACGGAAAACTTTAGTTAATGAGGTTTTCGTTCGTTCAATTACAGAAAATAGTATGATCGACTTTTAGAGAAGTAAGGTATAGACTGTTAAATATGTTAAAGCTTCAGAATTTTATTTATTGAATTATTTTTAATATCCAATTTAAGTCACACGACCTATTAAAATGTGTTGTAGAGTATTGCATAGCAAATCTGTGCAAAAAGAATTTTGAAAATGGAGCTAACTACTAAAGAAATGCTAAGACTTCCATTTCTTTCGACCAGCTCATTAAATACGATCAGATAAGGACAGAGCATTGCAATAATTAAACTATCTAGATTTTGTGTACTGTTTCATGATTTACGATACTACTTTGTTTATATTGTTCGAAATCGAAGCACTTTTCCTGTCGATCAACTAGCGAAGTTCATTCGTTCTCGTATTTTCAGTGACTCTCATCATTGTCATTGATTTTGATCTGTTTGAATACAACCAATTGGAGAACTTGTATTTTATTCGATGTACATATAATTTCTATTGACATGGAATCATCTTACGTTCATTATGAATATCTGTGTAGATTAGAAATAGGAAAATTGTTGTCGCATATTCGTATTTTTATTTCCGGTATTGACTTTCATGCGGGCACTACTATTCAATAATAGCTTTTAACAGACGTGTTATTCATCATTGAAGTGGATACTTCTTGACGTAATAATGATCGAACTAGACATCACAATGTATTGAGTTACTTCAGTGCCCTACAAAACTCTCAATTGGTCTGCTGTCTATCCATTTGTGCTCAAAAGTGTCATATACAAGAAAGAGTTTTGCTTGTGTTACTTGATGAATCATAAGGATATCAGTTATTTTTCTTGTGCTTTAGTGAAATCCTTAGGCAACATAAATTTTACATTGGAACTAATTCTAGATTCATGAAATTTTCTTTTCTTTTAAGTAAATTAATCATTCGCATTTTTCTATTTCGAAAATTAAAATGACTAACGGTCAACTACTTAATATGATTGCAGCTAAGATTTAGCAGTTTTTGTCAAAAAAATAGCTTGAAACTACTCTGTTGTCTCTGATAGAATTTCAAAAATGTCATCCTTATTTACGTAAAAAAAAAGTAGCAGCCTCAAATACAAACAAGCACTGCTCATTTGAAGTTCTAAACTAATGTTTAAAAATTCTTGTCTTTATATTATTTAATATTTTTGAATATTTATTCTTAGGAAAAAAAGCATCTTACTCTGTTTAAAAAAGCCTGAATATGCTGATTGATTGACATAAATGTCAAATCGATGAAACAAAGTTTGTTAGAAATATGTTTTCGTTAAAGAACATTGAATCAAGTCTTTCATTCCTTTTATTAATTAATACTACATAATAAAGAATGTCGTTCTTTTTTGTTCTATTTACATAACGATCATTTTATTTGTTAATCTAATCATTAATAAAATAACAAACTCATGTCTCAAGAATTTGTGTTTCGCCAATCGTCAATGTGTATATCATTATCATCATTCGCATCTTCCATCTCGTTCAGAAGTCGACAAAGTAAAGACGCATGATTCGAAACAATATTGAATATGTGCCGGAGAATAACTTTGGTTTTATCAAGAAACTTCCTTTTCTCGTCAGACGAAAGAGTACCGTACTTCAAAGTAAATGAAATGTTCCCGGTAAAGTCAGCTTGTTGAAGTATATCCTGTAGCATCTTGAATCGTTCTTGATAACGGATGCGTTCTTGTTGATGATGGTTATTTATCTTTTCTGGTTTAAACTGAGAGAGATAAGTGCAGAAAAATATGTGTGTTTCTATTGCGAGAATATGTACTAAATATTCGAAGGATCAGTCAGATAAATGAAAAGTGGAGATTTTCAAGATGGATAAAGAATAAATATGTATGAATCGTAGTCAAGGGTGTGGATGTGGTTGTGGGTCCGGGACAGCTCTATTCAAATCACAGCCAAACTCACACCTATATGGCAGATGGTTCTTACTACGTCTAAAATCAGTTGCCTCGCAGCATCGGGTGGCAAAATAGTTAACGGTATGGATTACATCAAAATAATGACTCGAGACTTAGAAGCGGAGCAGCTGCAGAATTGCTGTGCAAGAAAGTGCCTGAACTCATTGACACTGTCGAACATCCCCGACGTTATTCGAATGGAGAACCTCTGGTCGATCGTCAAACGTTGTGTCAAGAAGCAGAAACAATCAAATACCTATCAACTCAAGAGTTTCTGCACGAAGAAGAAAACAAAACAGACATGACTACTCTCAATCATGTAGTTAAATCGATGAAAACATGATGTCTCTCTTTGAGCAACTCAAAGAGAGAAAGGATTAACCATTAATTGTAATGGTTTTGTACTTTATACTATGCTTTATCTCTCTGAATGTTTAATTTCCCTATTCATTGTATTCATGCGAAAAGAAACCTGAAACATTAACGGCAAAAACTTTTGCACCTTACTGCATGTTCTCTGTTTACATACTTTTTCGAAAAAATATACAACAAAAGCAGAATTTGTTGGGAAAATTCAGCTTTTTCTTGTTGAGCGCTATGACTGCCACAATTTTCTTCTGTCGTGCTACTTTTCTGTTGTTCTCATTTGCTAGTATGACTGTTAACTGTGAATTTCACCTTTTAGACACATAAAAGACTATGTTCTTTCTGGTCATCATGTAAAAGCTCCTTACAGAACAAATTAAAGCATCGATTCAAAATAATAGTAGTTTTAGCAATTAAAGTTGTTGGCCTGAAAAGAATCGAATGCTCATTTTGTTATCAATCAATGAAATAATCACTATAGTTTATTATTCAGCATCAAGACATAAATATGAATCATGAACGTGACAATTAATAGAATTATGAGTAAAAATGTTAGTGAGATAAGATTATTGATCAACATTCATTTAACACAACACGAACAAATGATAGACCATTACCGCTGGCATGATGTAAACAAAGAAAAGGTTCAATTATCTCAAGTTCCATGACATGTAGAACTCCGGAATTATCTCGCGCCATGTCAATACGAGCATAGATCGGGTGTACAGGACAAGCAGTAAGTCTAGTAGATATGACATTGAGCATTTCATCGGTTGGATTATGGATTGTGCTGATGTGACCGCCAAATATTAGTATGGCTCGAAAGTCGTTCTTTGCCGGATGTTTGACTATTGAATGACTCACTTTGCCACCGAAGATGTATACAGATAGTTCTTCTTCACTACAAATGCTTTCAAGAAATGGCTGAATCATCATAGGTGATGTTGATTCGATCGTTGACAATGAAGAACTGTTGAGAGCTATACGTAGTGTGCGATCACTACCTGCTGATACTTGCGGTTTAATTACTAATTCATTCACTTCACCAAAGTCACGAGCGGTGTCTCTCAACATCTGAGGAGTAATCGGTCCATGGTCAATGAACAAAGTCGGAATGACTGGCACTCGGGCTGCATTGAGTTCATCGAGATAAGTTTTGCGTGTATTCCATCTGAGAAATGTGGCTGAATTGACTAATCGCTGGTCACTTGGTCACTTTTCTAGCCATTGTAGTCAACGATCTACAACAAAGTGATATCCCCAGACTAAACCAGCAACATATGTTGTTTTCGAACGTGCAGGTACAGTGAGAGGTGCTTTCGGCCAGGGTAATCGTAATACTGAAATACCGGCTAGCGTAGAGAAAGCACTTGTATATTGAACAAATGCTGATTGCCACAGATTGCTAAAGAGATGATCATTGCATTCAGGTATCAGAACAATCACGAGATGATCATCATGAGCAGATGACAGCATAGCTACTGATATGGGAGATAGATAGATGTTGCCTTAATGCACATTTGACTCGTAAGATCGTTTGCGAAGTGTGGTCTCATCAGTGCAACTATAATAGACCAGTTCAGATAGAAAATATTTCTTTATTAAGACATATCAGTTAAGTGTGAACATCTCAGAAAGTTTATAAATTGAAAAAATAATAATAATTTCATTTTGTTGGAACAAACCGAACAAGAGCACTGCTGTTTTTAACATTAAGAATACACATGATCGAAATTTATAAGATCTTTAACCAATAACATTCTATTGACAAAGATTGATTGCTGTGACTGTGATTATTCAGAATGAATGAGAACCTCGACATCAGTTGCATAATGTAATATTCTTCTAAATACCTACACATTCTAGAACTGTTTCCTTCAAGAAATAAGACGGCCGAAAGGTTATCGTAAGAAGTTTTGATGCGCGCAATTTTTAAAAATACTGTCCCTGTTGAACAGCTTGTCAATCAAGATGAATGTAAAAAACATCACCCGTTGATCTACCATGACAATTTATGTCTATTTTCGAGTCATTCCAGAATAATGCTCATAGCTTCTGAAAGAATAAAATTTCGGTAACTGGTTATTTTGTACAGAGGAAGTGTAGAACGTTTCTCATGCGTAAAAAAAGCAAGTCAAGTCTTAGCAAAATTTCTTTCTCATCTGTTATGATTCATCGAATTGTGTCTGGTGCACTGCATTGTTTTAGTTATCGAGTCACACTAGATTTTTGTGCTCTGGTATATTACCAAAGTAGAGCGGTTCTCGTGTAAATTTCAGCCTTTCACACATAATATAAATGGATATAAGAGAATATTCAACTCGTGTTTTTTAATCCTTGCATATCCAACGTTCGTAAAATAGTACAGGATGTCTCAAAAGTTCTGTATGAAATAGAACTGAAATAACTCTTAAACGATTCGAACGATCCACATAAGCTTTTCATCATTCCATAGAATGATCTCTGAAGTTTCATTTCACATGATTTCATCCACAATTTTTCTCAAAATGGTCATCGTCAACTGAAATAAATGAATCTGTAATTTTTGAAACATTCGTAAGAAAAACAGTTGATAAATCTTCTTCCGAGATCATTGCAATATCATTGTCAATTCTTATCTATGCAGTAAGCAAGGTGTTTTACGCTCACATTTCTGTAAAAGTTGCTGTTAATATGAAAATAAGTATTGACAATGAGATCGCAATGATCTCAGAAAAAGAAGATTTATGAACTGTTTGTCTTACGAATGTGTCAAAAAGTAGGGATTCATTTATTTCAGTTGACGATGACCATTTGGAAGAAATTGTTGTCAAGGAATTCAGGTGAAAAAAATTCAAAGAGTATTCTATGGAATGATGGAAAGCTCATGTGAATCACTTGAATCGTTGAAGAATTATTTCAGTATTGTTTCACAGCGGACTCTCGGGGCCTCCTTATTTCAGATCCCGGCTCTTAATGAAAGAGATCGCTTGAGACAAAACAACGGATTCCATCTCCGGTTCTTCAGAGATCAAAATAAGATTCCCAGTCATGTTCGAGAATCAGTGTTGCTAAAATTTTGGCAGTATGTTCGTTTATTTTTGTGTACCAGACACAAGAACAAAGTATCCAAAAGTCATCGACTTTCTGAGAATTTTTACTCAGATAAAGCATTTCCATCTGATTTTCAATCAGATAAAGGTTTTGAATTACTAAAATCATTTTTGATCAAAGTTTTCATGGAACTGTAAGAAAAGCATTCACAGAAATTTTCGAAAATTTTAGCAGAAAGTTCAAAGTTTTGGTGAGAAGAGGTCCCTAGTATCTCTTCCTTAATATGGAACTCCGATGAAGACAAATGTAAAAATACACATTTTGAAATTCTCATAGAAGCAGTCATTACAATGTATCACCAAGTTGTCTGTTTTTTATGTACAAAGTTATCTTTTGATATCACCTGTTCAGTATTATTGATATTACATATGCATCTTTTTAAAATTTTGCATTTAATACAAAATGAATCTCTACTGGTCTGATAGGCTTAACAGAATAGATTAGATTTGTCGTTTTTTAACACCGACATAAAACAAGCCTTATTCGACGAGTAATCCTAGCAATAGTACAGATATTATTTTAAATGATGATTTTCCTTGTAAAATATGTTTGAATATATTTTTGTTTCATAAATAAGTCTACTCACACATTTAGATAATTTGATAGAGAAGTAAATTTTGAATCCTTTATGGTGCAAAAAGAGAAAAAATAACTTGTCGTAATCTTGGTTGCAAAAACTCGCTAAAAATACTCAACAAAATTGTATGCCGATCAATAGAAATAAATTCAAGACGATCGGTGATTATGCTTTTGCCTGTTTCTATTTCATGAGGTCCTTTTTAAACAAAATGAGTACGAATTCAGTCTTTTGATTTTAAGCTCAAGATTTGAGGTTCTACAACGATCTTACTCCATCTTTCTTTTTAAGAGTACAAAACTTTTAAAAGATAGCAAAATCGAAAATAGTCATGGTTCATTCAATTTCTAGAATACGCTGAAACAATGTATATACAGTAGCGGACAAAGTCTCCATCCACCCAGATCTCAGCTACCACAGATACTGAACGTCTGAAAATTTGTGTGCATATAATCCACCAAGAATATAGATCACAGCCATGCGCTAGCCCTGATTGTTTAAATACAACAAGAATTATAATGAATGAAGTCTATTTTTGCTGCAAAGTTTTTGACCTGAAAAAGCTGCCTAGTAGATTTTGCGTTGCTTTTCATCAAATACATGATTAATTCTCGATATTTTACTATATAACTGAAGCGTAGTGTAAGGTTTTTCTTCACTCCAAAGATCATGATATTCGCTGCAAGATTGCTGTCTTTGGAGATCTCTGATTCCTTGATGCCAGCACGATAATGCATGGCATACTATTTCTCTTTCGAAGATATTTCTTTTGTGAGACTTGCAGTCAATAATGTTCAGCTACAAGCAAAGCATTTCTAAAGGTTTGAGCTCGATTTATTAAAGAATTACTGAGCTATGTTCTACAAAGAGCAACAGGGAGTTTTCACCCTTAGGGTGTGGGGTGTGGATTCATGTCTTCTTATAACCCACACACCCACACCCACACCGTTCTCCTGTTATTCTCACTATTTTAGGTGCTTACTAGCAAATGACGATGAAATGGTGCTGCTTTGTATTGTTTATGACACCATTTTCTTAGACTTCGAAATTCGTTTAATGCTCTTCTCTTCTCCATTCTCTCCCTATCGTATACTGTGTACATTTGAATTCTCGTATTTAAAGAAATGATATTGTTGCATGGTTGTAAATAAAGATTCTTTTTGTTTTTAAACTATCTGGATTTGAAAACAAAGCAGTAAATATTTAAATTGTTTCCGCTAGTAGTATAATCATTCATTCGGTTGATAATTTTTCTCGTAATATAATTTTTTATATAAATTCAAGAATTGATTCATTGAATACCGACGTAAAAACTCATTAAGTTTCTCACCATTAGTCAGAAAATCATTTGCTTTTTTGTTTCACTTTCAAATCAAATTACTCATCTTGATAGCAATAAACATAAACCGTGTTGAATTGTTTGAATAAATTGTTTTTTTTTTGTTATTTGTATAGCATATGTAATGTTAAAAAAAAATTATCGTAAGGGCATAATCAGAATATTACAACGTTAATTGTTACTTCTGGTGAAAGTCAAGGTAGAAAAATTTCGTAGTAGTATTAATGTTAGGCTTGTTATTTATTAAAACACTGATAAAACTAGATAGGAATAATATTTATGCTGATTATCATATAAATAAAGTATAATCATTAGCAAATAATTCACATTTTTAAACATTGTTAATTGATCTTTGTTTATTAAATTTGTATATGCAAATACGTTCATTGTGACAGTTCAAATTTTCAAAATTTTTGTTTAGTCAAATAATACAATTATCCGATCAAACGTATTATTTTGTAGTCATTAATTTACATATTATTTTTTCTTTACTTGTGAAGGACAACAACATGTTTTTGTGTCACGTACATCATCATTTGAAGTAAACGCATTGCTGTTTCATGAAAAGAAGTACGTTGGTAAACAAGTAATTAATAGCAAATAAAAACTCAAATTGATATTACCTATTCATTATAGAATAATATTTTCTGCTGATGATACATAGTAACTATCCTTCATATAGATCATAACAACGTGATATTGTAACTTGTTTTACCTGTACTAATAATATCACGTGTTTTAGGGAGTATGAATCTCTCAACACTCTAATGATATTCCTTTTAATATTCGTGGCTTCAAAAAAAAAAGAACTCATCTTGTCATTCTCCATAAAATGACAAGTTTATTTTTGATTAATTCTAAATAGCGTATATCAATTTCTAAGACTTGCTTCCAACAAACAGTTCAAGATGAAAAATTTTGTAAAACAATTTTGTGCCGAATTTTGTTTAACTGAATATTTCATTTAAAATATAAAACCATCTTTCAATTTTATTTTAGCGCAGTTGATGAATTTATCAAACTCATTCCATATTGAATACTGCAATAGATTTCAATGTAAACTATTCGTTGGTCAATCATCCTTGTCAATCAAAGAGAGAAAGTTGTTTTGGCATCATCTTACTGGCATGTTTACTCTGTTTTGCAGACCTCATTTATAAGCTTTTAAGTAATATAAAAGCATTTAACCATACAATAATCTTTTCAGGAAATTTTCACATCTGTTTGAATTAATATCTTTCCTCAAATCAAATCCGCATGGTCGTAAACCATCATATACTGAGAAATATAGAACGTACACGAACTCTGTACATGTGTGGGTCATGATTTAATTCTCTTCTTATAGATGTGAAGTTTTAGATCTTCTTCCAGTAGTTCGTAAACACTTGTTCTAGATATAACCTATTCTTAAGATAAACTTCGAATTGACATAATCTTTTTCTGTTGACTTTTTAAATCATTTTAGTGGTTCTCACAAAATATAGATCATCCGGTGAAGTTAATAGCTTGACAGAACAAGTGTCACAGATCATTTTGCACTATGTTTTAATAACGGTCAATTCCAGAGAATTACTTGAATCATAAAAATCTGAGTTTGAAGGAAAATGTCATTAAAATACTAAAATACCCATTTTTTCAAGGACGTCCAATGCACAATATTGCATGTCATTGATTATCAATCTATTAATCAATCATTCATAATATGAAGTGTCATCATACATGAATCTATTATTCATCCTTCATTCACCCTTAAGCAATGAAACCTTGCTTAAGTTAATATTACTACATATCTGATCATTTATTAATCACACAATATATAAGTGATACAAAATAAAAGTAATTGCATGAAAGATATTTTATTTTTACTTTCTTGTTTTTTTTTCTATTAAGTGTTCTCTTATTTAATTCTATAAGATACTTAGCTTGATGAAACAATGAAGAATTTTTTGTTGATGCTATTGATAGTTATCAACGCAAATAGACAACTTTTGATATTTGTTTTTCTAAATAATAATTTTTCATTATTCGAATAAGTTTTGTTTCATAATTTTTTTTTTTTTTGCAAAACAAAATTTTTAACTATTGTCCTAAATTAATGGATGTTTCCAATAATTTAATTTAATTATTCAGTAAATTGTATGTTTGATTATTATGTGATGTTAATAAAACAAAATAACCTTAGAACAATTATTTAAAAATGAATTCTTTATTAATTTTAATATGCTGAAGATAATAATAAAGGAAAACAAAAAATGAAAAAAGAAAAAAATAATAATAATTAATAAATAAAAAAAAGTGTATTCACCAGAAATGAGTTTTATAGCTTTCTATTCTATGATAAATCAAAAATGAAAATATTGTCTTCGGTTGAAACAATCTATTCAGTTTTTTTACGTCTGAACTTTCAATAAAATAAGTTTTGTCAAGAAATAATTCTTAAATCATAAAAGAATATTTATTAAATTGAAAGTTTACGTGGACATTTCGCATAAGATCTTGGTTGTATTGAAGGAATGAAATTATGAACCATTTGAAACATTTGTAATGGAGATGCATTTGAAGTAACTAGGATATCATAGGGTGCATTTGAATATGGAGTCGATGGGTTACTTGGATATTGTTGTACGATTAGTGGAGAAGAAGAAATCGATAATTCTTCTATACTTAATGGAAAAGCAACTGGTGTAGTAATTCGTTCCATAACACTTAAAAATCGTGTATAAACTCCAATAGGTAATTTTATTTCTTTTGTTGATTTAAGATCATCATTGAGTAAAGTATATGTTTCATTACGTTCTGCTGCACACATTTTGTATAATTGTATTAATGCTTGACCATCCATTTTTTCACATAAAGGCATAAGTTCTCGTAAATGTTGATCATAAAGAAAATCGTTTACATCTGCTTCTGTCCAATTATAAATAGGTCGCTTTTTAAAATTTGAACTAATCGTTCTTTTCGTATATGTATCTGATAATTTACGAGGTTTGGGTGGCGCTGCAAATTTTACTGGTTCTACTGGCTTTTCCTCTTGAACAACTTTAGTCTCTTTGGGTGGAAGTGAACGTTTTTTTTGTAGATTAATTTCATTCATTAATTTTTCACATGCTGTATCAAAATTAAAACGACCAAAATCAACATAAATTCGTGAACCAATCATAAATCCTAACCATCCATCTGCTCTATATTCTGGTCTAACAATTAATGGAATTAAACATCGTTTACAATTAAATGCATATTCAGCCTCAGCTTGACAATATGTACTTTTTTTATATGAGTCCGACATACACATAATCACAAATTCAGAATTTTCAACAGCTTCAGCCATAGCACTCATTGCTATCGATTAATATTAAAATATGTTTATTTATAAGAAAAAAAAAACAATCTTTTCTTTTTTACCTGGACCAAACATATTATTAAGATCAATCCATATTTTGAAATTTTGATCTTTAAGAAATTGATGAATTTTATATACTAAATCTTTATCCGCATGACAATAAGAAATCATCATATCATATTGAAATGTTCGTTCGGACGGTAGACTACTAGCTGGTACTTTTTTAGTTATTACTTGTTCTTTTCCGTCAGGTCCAATAATAGTTTCTGTTGTTTCAATCATTTCATTAGATTTATTTTTTTCTTGTTGTTTTGCAACTTTTTCCAAAAATACTGGCTCTAAAAATAGATATTAATATACATAACTGTTAAAGAATTTAGATCTGTATTCAAGAATTTCTTAAAAGTGTCTACCAGCAGGAAAATTGTTTCAGTTTCAAAAGAAAATAGTTCACCTGTATTCTCCTTCAATTGCTATTTGGACAAGGGAAGTGCCCTTGCACTCTCCCTTGACTACATGCCTGAAAAAATTATGGGATTATTTTTAGTACCTTCTACTAGTTTCCAAGTAAGTCCTTCAGATGCTTTTTTCATTGCTTCATCGCCAGTAGTTTGTGATACTTTTTGAATCTTGTCTAGAAGTTCACTATGAAAACGAAGTGCAACTGCTGCGTCGCGAGAAAATGACAACGACCATAAAGCTTCTAATACTAATTTCAATTTTTCATCAGTGAATTTGTTCGCATAATCCACAAGAAATGGAAGAGCATTTTGTTTGAGTACTTCGTCTTTCATTTGATCATGCAGAAGAAGACCTTAAGAAAATGATATTTAATTTATTTTATTGTTGCTTCATCTAATTTACCTTTAAGTGTTTCAAGTAATTGTTCAATTTGACGTTGATCATCTGGATTTTCATCCATTGCAGCTTTTAATGAGTCAAGAGTTGTCGAAAGTAAAATACCTGGATTATCCATTGATTTTATATCATTTTCACTTGCTACATTAGCAAGAAGAGTGTAAATGTTGTATTGTAATGGTTTGTATAGAGCAGATGTTAAACGAAGAAATGAAGGTGTCACGTTTTTTTGCTTGATATGACCTAAAATTGTTGGCTCATTTACTATGTTAGCAAGAAAATGAACAGCTGTATTCATCAAGTTTGTTTCTGGATTAGATAATGTTTCTTCAAGATTGATATACAAGTTTTGTGTATTAATTAAGGTCAATATATGATCAATAAAGGGTAGATTAGCAACAACAATTTCTACATTTGTTGATCTATGATTGACTATTTTTAATATATCATTTACAGCTCGAAAGGCTGCATGACTCCATTCATTTATGTAAGGAATCACTTTATGTAATAAATAAATATACTTAGGTAACATTGTTGAAAGTAAATTATTTATTACTTGATGAATACGAGAACCTACAATAAAAAAAAAAAAGAAAGATTTTAAAGAACTTATTATTGATTAACAAAATAATCGTACCATGATAAGATAGAATAAATGATGGACATTTTAAAAGAAAAAATTTTCCTTTTTTGTCTAGTGATTTTTTTTTTATATTCACTATGTCAAATGAATCAATATAATGTTGTGAAGACAAACAGTGTATAGTAGGATCAATTAATTCAATTAATGTATCGTCATGAGAAATATTTTTGTTATTCAATCTTTCTTGATGATCAATATAAATACTAAATAAACGCATAAAATTTTTTGATTCAATTTGACTGTGTTCAAAAATATTTTTATTGGGTTTCGATATATTTGTAAGACAACTACCAATAATCTTTATAAATGATGAATCGAATGGCCATGATGGATAGAAATCGATATCATTGGTATTCTTAAATAGTTTTCTTAATAATTTAGGTATAATCCGAAACAAAAATGATTGATCCTCATTTAATTGAGACTTATCAATCCATGACTGAATGATTTCAGCAAATGGTGTTTGTANCCCCCTCTTTTTTTTCCCCACCCCTTTCACGATCTTGCCCCCCCCCCCCCCCCCCCCTCCCCCCGAAGAGTCATCATAAATATAAGTATTCTCAATTAAACGCAGACGAACATATATTTTTATTGTCGTCTGAAAAACAAATCAAATCCAGCAAGAAAGATTTTTTTTTATAATTTAATAACTGTGTAAACTCATAAAATATATGTTATTAAAAAAGGATGATTTACGTAAATTTTTTCTCATTATACAATTCATGTGGTATTTTCATTAATCGTATTAAGTCATAATATAATTTTGTTTCATAATTGATAAAAATTTTGCTAATTATTTTTTTCTGTTGATATTTACATAAGAATAATCTTTTACTATCATTATCTATTGTTACAAATAATTGTGTTTTATTATTTATTGACATATGAAATAAAATAATCATTTGAAATCAAGATATAATTAAGCTTATAAGAGTAATATGAACTTAAATGACAGGAAAAGAAAAATATGACACTCATATTCATCAACAGAGTTAATCTTCAATTACAAAACAAAAAAAATTAATAAAAAAAAAGTACTGAGCAATTTTGTTCATTATTGTAAACTAGATACCAAAAAACAAATACGATGCTCTTTTTTAAGTGACGATAGATTTATCGTGAATATTACCAAATAAATTTGATTAAGTAATTGGCAGATATATAACTAAGACTTGTGTCTATCCGAATAATTGACATAAATTAAATAAGACATGATCAAAATATGAGTTTAAAGGAAACAAAAGAAAAAAAAAGCCTAGATGTTCTTATTTATTCCAAACAATATATAAATGATTGGTAGATTTATTAAGTTATAGAACATAAATTTTTCAAAAAAATCTCTATCTTAACTTCGTTTTATTTTCCAATTCAAAATTCGAACATACTTGAAGTACATTAGTTTTTTTTATGTTTCTTCGATATGACATTAAGTACGTTTCATCCTACATTTCCTTGTTCACTCGTTAAAACTAATCCTATTTCTTATTCAAAAATCTCTTACTAAGACGATTATTAGATCTAGTCAAAGATAAATTTAATATTTTTTTACAAAATTAATTAATTCTTTTATGATTTATTTTCGAACAAAAATACTTATTATTAAGTAGTCATGACAAACGATGAGAGAACTATGAACGGAATTCATGTCATAGGATCAATATAAAAGAGAAATTCTTATGAAACTTCAACGTATTTTTTCTTTTGTCTTTATAACTTCCGACATTAAGTATTGTATTTGTCATTTAATAAAAGAAAAAAAATAAGACATTTATAAACGACTATTTATGCCCGAGTAAATTACTGGTACTTACATGTACTCTAGACAAATTTCTTTTACATATATATATACGTATGTATAACAAAAAAAAATCAGATCAACATGAATATTTAAAGTATTCGTTATTTTTTGACTTGATCCACCCTCATGTCATTGGTATCTTGATTAATATTGACATTCATGCATACAGTGACAAGTTTCGGAAACAACGTTCATTTTCATTAAGGTCTAAAAGGATTTGAAAGTGCTCATATATAGATATATATATATATTTTCTTTTAATCATATAAGAAGAAAAATTCAGGAAAGAACTTTCGACTAAAAAATCTTGTTGATGAACAACAATTTTAAATCTAATTGATCTAAAGTTTATGGAAGTGTTTTTGAAAATAATTGAAATATTATCTTTTGATTGCGTGAGAGAGTATCAAATTTATTTGATGAGAAATAGATTACACACATAAGCTGAATATTATCTTTATTATTCGTGCAAGAAAACACTCAAGAATGCAAAAACAGAAATGTCATTTTTTTTTCTCTTTTCTCTGCTTCTTCCTGTTGTTGTTCTTCTTCTTCTTCTTTGTGTCACTGTCATTTCATATCTTTTCGTATTACTTAGCAAATAGATTTTATCATGGCACTTATCGTCGTTGTGATCGATTGGATCTGTATTATATTATTTATATTGGGTTTTATTGGTAATCTACTTGGTTTAATAGTTTTTTCATCACGGCGTTTTCGTTGTTGTCCAACATATGCTACGTTAGCATTAACATCATTTACAATCAATTTAATATGTATTGTACGCTATTCATTAGTTATTCATTCAACAACACGACGTTGGTTATCCGATCATATTGTTAGTGAACATTGGTTAACATGTAAAATTTATCGTTTATCATCATCATTTCGTGTTCTAGCTGCATGGATAACAGTTTTTTGGGTTATTGAAAGATTTATTTATGTTTCATCACGTTTAAATTTATTATTTAATCGTCGTGAAAAATATCAAACATTTGAAAAATATAAATATTTTTCTATGATATGTATTTCATTAATTATGATTATGATTGTTACAGGACCAACTGTTATTTTTTTTGCACCAAATTTTTCAAGGTAATTAAAATAATTTAGATTTTTTTTTTTGTTGATTTTTCTTTTATAAATAGTTTTAATAATACACATTCATCTATACAATGTACATTTAATATTGATTATACTTCATTAAAATGGCAACAATATTTTACTGATTTATCATTTGATTTTAATTATCATACAATACGATTTTTATTATCAGAAATAATTCCATCAATTTTTGTTGCATTATTTAATATTGCTATAATTATATGTATCTTTCGAACAACATCACATGTTCGAAAACGACAAGAATATCATCATAATAATCAATTATCAATGTCAATGATGACTGGTATGACATCAAAATTAACACCATTACAGGTTTATGATGCAAGTCAACAACGATTTGGTTCAATCAAACGTTGTTCATTGAGAAATTCAACAATACCAATAGCAAACGTACCATCTGGTAAAATGTCATGGATGAATATTATTTTAATATTACATTCATTATTATTTTTTTTATCATCAAGTCTAACATCATTAGTTTATTTTTCAACATCAGATATGATACTTGCTTATTGGATGAGTGTCATTATATTAGCTAATTGTTCATTAAATTTTTATGTTTATTGTTTAAGTGGAAGACAATTTCGTACGGAATTAAAACGTATTGCTAAACGTTATGTACGAAATTTACATAAAATAATTCAACGTCGATGTAATAAACGTAATAATCGTCGTCATTCAACTGTACACAATGGAAAAGATCATATTTATCAAACAGTTCCACAACAACAAGAAATTCCTATACCATATCTACTACGAGAATATCGAATTAAAGGACGAATTAAATAATGATTTTTACATTTTTATGCACGAAATTTATTCCGTCAAATTTCTTTTTTTCTTCTTCTAATTTGTGTTATTTATGAAAATATAATACATTTCTTAAAAAGAAATCATCTAGTATTTGATCTTAAATTCAATTTTCTATCGGTCTGATGAGTACACATCATCATCAATTGAATTCTTTTTGTCGAACAAATAGTCTAAGAAAATAGTATAGCACGCGAATATGTCTCATGTGATATATGATGGTTATTTTTATGTCAACAATAAAAACGGTGTCTAATACAGACCCTTAAATATAACTGAATGAGTAGATATAAATAAACATATAAAGAACTTTGGGTTTAGATTATTTTTCATTGAATTAATAAGATAAGAAAAAAAAGACACGATTGTTAGACTAAATAGATTTTGTTTAATATTGATGTAAATAATAGAATCTGTCATTATGTCAACGATTGTATTATTAGACAATTTGTTATTAAAACATATTTATAAACAAAAACTGTTTTACATGTTATTAAATATTCATCATGATTTTGTTTAAAATCTATGGTAAGAATATATAAGATGTTTTTTATTTTTAGCAATAATTCATTGTTAGAGATTCACCTTACTCATACCACCGTGATAATCTTAACGATTATCATTTTTGATAATGTAAGTAATTAATCGTTTTTGTTTTTGTTTGTAAGAATTGATTAATAAGAAACAAGTTAAGAAAATATATAAACCTTGAAGAAACAAATAAATGCCTAAATAAGCATTATATTATTCGGCATGTTGATAGAAAAACATCTGATAAATTAGATCAATGATAGAACTAATTATCTTAAGACTAATGATGACGAAATTCGTTGTTTTGTCCCATCAGTCTGAAGGTTATCATAACAGAATATATTATCATAAAATACTCTAATAACAATATACAAAATTTTATATATCATTTATTTAATCGACGCAATAATAATTTTAACTATAATATATCAAAACTTCTTATTGACTTATTCTATATAGTCATCATTAAAGAAAAATGAGAATGTCTACGAATACATGTTGATTAATCTACTTATCTACATTATTATAATTTTTCTTTATGTTGTTTGACATGCTTTTATGTCAATACGTTTGGTGTTATCGAATTTAAGTTCATTCGACATGCATATGACCTATTGATGAATGTATTGAATGATAAATGATAGAAATTATTTTTTGAAATGAAATATTCAGTCGTCAAATAGCAACACATGTTTACAAGGAAAAATAACTTATTTATAATTTGAAAATCATTCATAAATTCTAACATTTTAATCTTTAAATATACTCATTTAATTCAATGTCAAGGTTTTTAAATCTTGCGATTAATTTGGTACTCTTCTGACACACTAATGTATATGTATATGTCGGAGTTGACTCTAAAATTCAGTTGACTTTAAAAGGGAACTAGTTGACTTTAAAATTGAAGAGACAACTAAGATGGAGCTAGTTGACTTTTCAATTTCGAAGACAACTAGGCGACTTTAAAACATGACACATAAGTAGAGAGAAGTTAGTTGAATTTACTATTTTAAAGTCAACTAGTTCCCTTTTAAAGTCAACTGAATTTTAGAGTCAACTCCGACATATATAGAGAGAGAAAGAAAAGAAATGTCATGTATTGCGGATTTCCGAGAGTCTCTGCTGTGATCTTCAATCTTCCAGTCATATAACAGTATTCTTTAATGAAACTTCTATTTAAAAAATAAGTGATGAATGAGTTCTGATATTCTTTTAGATTTAATACGTTAGAAATTAATTTCATTGAAATAGACCTTCCATAATTCGAGTCATGCAATATCAAAGGCTATTCATTATTCAGTAAATTACGTCAAATATCAGATCAATTAACAACTGTCGTTATTCGATTTCATAAAAAATATTTTTTCAAAGCCAAGATTATTGAACACAAATTCAACAAATTATTATCAACATATTTAATAACAAAATTAGAATTCAAACGTAATTAATCATAATATTTATTTGCAAAATAAAATTCAATGATGTTTTACGACTCTTTTCTCATCCTAAAGAAATTTTATTTCATAAGTTCGAATCATAAACACACACACACACACACAAAGAATCTTTATATAAAAGAAAGACTTTAATATCGCAGAAAGAAAAAAATCCGTTCAATTTATTGAACAATGACATATGTTGCTGCTGTTGCAACACCACAGTTATTGTTTCTACGAGACATCAATACATAACCATCATTACCCCAATAAGTTGACCAAGAATTTTTAACAAGCCAATAGTCTTCACCATATAATGTGCCATAGCCAACAGCAAGCACTGCATGATCTAAATCGTCAGGTGTATTACCTAAAAAAAGGTATCATTCAAATAAGAGAAGCCCATATTCAAAATGTACTAAGAAGAAAAAACTTACCACAATCAGGATCATAAAAGACTAAAAATATTCAAAAATGATTACAATGAAATTTGAAATATTCAAATCAATAAATCTTACCTCCGCTAGCATAAAATAGAAAACCTTTATGAGCAGCATCAATAGCTAAAAAAAAATAAAGTCATTAATAAGAAGTCAAAAAAAAACCTACAATTAAATTCATACCAACTGATATTGGTCCTTTTGTTGCAATAGCAATTCTTAAACCTTCTTCATCACCTTCAGTTATATTAACATATCCAAGAATTCTTGCACCTTTTGTTACATTATCATGATGACAAAAACTATCTTCTTGTAAATATTGACCATAAGTATCTTCTAAAGCAATACCATCATGTTTCATAATATACTGATAGGCACGAAAATCTTCTCCACCATCACAACCATTATTACCAAAACCCCATGAACAATCAATTAAATCTGTTTATGCAAAAAAAAAAAAACATTTCATTTATCTCTCAATTTATTCAAACCTTGTTCAGATAAACGAATAGATGTTCCATACTAAAAAAAAAACAAATGTAAATATGTAATATATATATATATATATAATTTATTAAATTACTTTAACAAAATAAGCGCCTTCAATAGTACCTGTTGTACCAAATGACCAACATGATCCACAAATACCTTGATCTTTAACTGGTGTTACAGCTCCCATAATACGCCAATCAATTGAATCAGGTATAGCACGATTACTACTAGTTAATTCTTTTTTTGGAAATGGAAGTCCACCATTATAACCTTTGGTATGACGACGACCACGAAGTACACGTAATTCTTCATCCTAATTCAAAAATTTAAATTTAAATATTTTTTTTTATTCTAGAACTTACTGTTCGATCAGCAAATTTATTTATTTTCATTTTATATGGCAATGATGCACGATTACGTGTATTTATATAACGAACATTTTGTCGAAAGATTTTCATACGTTCACGATGTTCTTCTTCGTTTTCATATTTATGTCCATGAGTGTGTTTAAATTTATCAAATGATGATTCAATATAATCTTCATGATGACGATTGATATATTCGCTCATTGGATTGAATAGAACACGAGGAGTTGTATGTTCAAGACCAGGACCAGGAAATCCGGTGCACATCATTCCTGAGAAGAAAAAACAACGAGAAATCAATAATAGAATGTTACATTTAATTAATAAAGAATTAAAAATCTAATTATGATTATAAAATAAGATGAGATATCTTCAATCTCTCGATGATCTTCTGTAAATTAACAGAAAGCCCAAGACACATTTTTCTCTTCTCTTTATTGAAAATTTTGATGTTTTGACCATGTTTGTCGCTTTGCAGCTTTCTGTAATATGAGCACAGATCACAGAAAGATTGAAAACGTCTCATTTTGCCTTATAAAATAAAATCCTTTCCCAAAAATTCCGAACACAAGTCAGAAAGCTGATTTTGATTTTTCGCAGATCCTTATCCAAACAGTCTTGTTAGAGTCTTCGGACTCAACAATCCTAACAGAGAATATTTTCAGCTAGACAAATGTTTTTTTCCCCACATATTCTTGCTAGCTACTATATATAATTCTTCTGTAAAATGGAACAATGATCTATGAAATTTTGATCATTAATCAGACATATATTCATCGTTACTTTTTACCGTCTGTAATATGAAATATAGTTGGGTCAATTGAATCTTCATCATAATTATAATAATCAATAGTATATTTATCAAAATGAGAACCAATTAATGTATCGTAACCGAACATTTCATAATGAACTGGATGTTTAGTAGCAGAATTGATATAATAAGTATATGTTGATTTTTTATCGCCTACTTGATCAACAGTTTGATACATTTCACATTGTATTCCACGCCATTCAGCTGGACCTAAATCCTAAAAAAAAACAAAACAAAAGAAACATAATAAAAATTTCTCTAGAAAAATCCGAATGAAATAATATTTAAGTTAATTACTTGAAATGCAGATAGATCAGGAAGTGTATGTTGTACATCAACCATATCTTCTTGTGAACCATTAGATTGAAAACAACTAATCTTATTTAAAACTTGTTCATCTAAAAACAATAAAATAATTCAAATATGAAATTAATCATTTATAAATTCTCATTTACCAGACATAGGTACAATTTTATAATTAGCTCCGAAATCTTGACCACCTTGTCCTTTTCGTTGAATAGTTTTTGCTGCACCTATAATTTAAATTTCGTTTTTTTTGTATTTATTATAAAATAATATCAAAGAGCAACTAACCGCCATAATAATCAATACGTGAAAATCCAGCAGCAACATCAATCCATGATTCAAATGGTTCACTAATTTCTGCATAAGGTAATTGAATAACACCACTTACATGATATCTTGATGGGAGACCATCACGTAAAACTGGATTTGCATTGATTGATATAATCACAGCTAATACTAAATAAATAAACTTATTATTTCTATCTACATAATTACTTAATTATAAAATCTTACATGCCGTGATCAAAACTGATAATTGATGCATGTTTTAATCTAGAAACCGAAAAAAAACAATGTATATCGACAAGGTTTGCAATTTTTTTTGTTGGCTTTTTTCCTCTTATCTCATGGTCTTTTATCTGCCATATTCGTTATCTATAGTCTCATAACCTTGACGAACAACATCATCATCATCATGATAATATATGATGATGATGATGATGATGGAAGATTTTTTTTTTTTTCTTAGTTAACAATCAAACATTGTTATCATTTAAACAACTGTTATTCTGATAATAAATATTACAAGTGTTGAAATGTACACAGAGGCTTTTTTGTTTTGAAGGTTCATTTGAATTTTTATTCGTGTATTATTATAGATCCGGATACTTTAGTTTAAGAAATAAATACAAATACTTAAGAGAACCTCATTTCTGAATGATAAAATTGCAAAATTCTTGTAATGATAGTTTCTAAAAGTACTGAAAGAATGGTTTCCTAAGACCATCAGTTTTCGATCGAGCTGAACTTTACAAAAAACTATATTTTTTCTTCTGGAGATACGCTCAGTATATTTATCTCTTTATTCGAATGGAAGAAACAAGAGAAAAAAAAAAGTAAGCAGCCAAACAGTATCTAGTATGTGTAAAAAAGATTACAGCTTTATCAGACATATTGCGGCTGAGAAAGCACAGTGATTTTTAGCCATTACAATCCAGATGGTTCCTAGAAGAAAGTATTCGTAGTCTATGACAACTTTTGTTCTACTCATTGAGATCAATCTAAACTATCACAAAATCCTCATTGGATTTTTTTCAAGTTGAAAATCATTTAATTCATAGACAAATAAAACTTTGCAAAAACGTAACACGTCTTTTAGATCAATGAGCCAGAAATTTAATCGATGATAATAATACTTCTTATCAAGCTATCCTTAGCCTTGTGGGACATTTCCGCAGAACTCTCAACTATCCTACTGTGCATATATACAGTATGTAGTAAAATTATTCAGCAAGATACATAAAGAAATAAAAATTATTATCGAATTCCCAAAGATTAGGACTTCAGAGAATCCAAACTCTATTTTTTCAGCACCCTAGAACGCTAGCGTAAATAATTGCCTACAAAATGAGAGATCTTTGAGTTCTCTGCGACGTTTTTTAACTAAGATAAAGCAATTTAATTGAAGGTCAAAAAATGAGCTTTCTATATGAAATAGTAAAAAAATGTAAATTGTATTTCAAGTCGATCTATAATTTAAGAAAAATAATATTCTCTTAGATATAAATAATTATTATGATCGATTAGAATTTTGAAATTTGTTTTTAATCATGTTCATCATTATACTAATAATCAAAGTATTGTTTGTATTCATAAAAATTGTTGAATAATTCAATTATTATTTTATCATTAATCGAAATACTGCAAAGAAATTTTCTTTTTTATAATATAGATCTCGAGTGAAAATCATGCTAACAGCTAGTGACTCACAACTGTGTATACTGATCTTTCGTTTGATTTTTCAAACAACCTTGTATGTAGGTAGGTATTGATCATATGTTATTTTGTTACTATTTTTAATAAAACCAATCATAGAAAACTGAATGTATCAGCTCTTGTTTATCATATAGACTAACGACATCTATATTATAAATTCATCAATTTAGTGAAAATCTTATTTTAAGACATGAGTATACGTAAATCATATAATAATTTAATAATGATAGATTTACAATTTAAGAATAGAAAGCGATCTTGGTTACAAATCATGTTTTGAAGTCTATTCACTTGTTTTTGAGTGTCTTCTGTTGAGAAAAATATTTGCTCAAAGAAAGGATGTTTACCTCGACTACATCTGTCACTGTAATAAACCATTGAACAAATAAACAGGACACAATAAACACGACCAAAAGTCAAAATTCTGTCTAATCACTATAGATATTTGTTCTTTCGTTTATCTGAATAACATTTGATCCGAGTCATTCGAAGTAAAAGATCATACCAGTGTTTTTTTGTTTGTTTTCATAAATCAGTTATTTATATCTGTGAGATTTTTCAAGAATGAATACTTGATGTTTCTCTAACGCGAAAAAAAAAGAATCACTTATAAGACAATGATGCAAACCTTAATTTTATCTGCAACAAGAGAGTGTAGATTTTATCCCATGATGAGCACTAACACATACTAAACAATGTTTCTTGTTTTCTAACTCAACTGCTATCACAATCGAGGAGCCAGTGATAATATTTCCTATAGACAGTTATTAAATACAACGGCAGTTAGTGTAGATGTCAAATGCAAGACGTTTAAAAATTGAAATAGGGTCAGTGATAGGTAACAATTATCAGATAAGGCAGATGATTACAATCGTAGGATATTTCACAAATATTTCAACAAAGACAAATCAAAAAAGTTCTTTTGACTTCTGATAATGAATTTTGAGAGAGGTAAAATGAAAATAGATGTAAGATGATTTAATTTCTTACTCGTCAATTTCTAATTCTTTCTGATAGTTTTCAAAACATTAAGAGGATGGCTTGGCTCGTATTACTTCTCCATTCAGCAATGAGTTTAATCTTGATTTAGACAGTAAACTTGTATTGTCCGAAGTGTCTACATTCTTGTTAGAATGAGAAATAAATTCAATATCAAAAGTTGAAAGAATCTTTTACTTTAATTATTGTAGAGAATTTCACAATGCATTATTTAAAAAAATCCAGTTTTAATGATTTACCTGTGCAGGAATATATATATAAGATATATATTACTACAAATATTACTTTGATTTCCTATATAATGAAATATAGACGAAAAAAAAAATACTTCTAAGGAAAAAATATGTATGAATTTATACAATTTAATCATCAATTGGTATTAAGAAACCAGTTAAATTATTGATTTTATTTACTTGAATAATTTTAGCGACATCTCTATATAGTTTCGAGGTAGTTTCTTTTCATTTCCATGACATTATGAATAATTTATGGTTCTTCTGAATGTTCTTTTACAAATCATTCAATTTGTTTGTTCTAGACTTGAAATTAATTCATTCTTATTTTTATATACCTCACATTTATAATATGACTCAATATGTACTCCCTGACAAACGTCAATCATCTCGTCACTCCTCTAATAATGTTGATGACGATATGCCAAAAGGACTATCACATTCTTTACCAAAATCATCTCATATTGTCGATAAAAATAATTCATCATTATCAGGAGCTATTGTTGAACCTGGTTCACGTATTGAATTTCTTGAACGAAGTCTTCGTTATATTCAAGAACAACAAGAAACAGTACTTGTTGATTTACATAATGAAATCAGTCGACTTCAACAAGAAAATAGAGGTGTTAATAAATTTAATTAACTAAAAATAATGTTGATAACAAAAAAAAGTCTTTACATCTAGATCTTCATTATCGAACGGTCAAAACTCCTTCACTACCTTCAATAGAACAAAAGCAAAAAAATACAGATCAAATATCTACTTCTTCTTCTTCTTCTCCTCCAAGTAAATCTAATCATGGTATGAAATAATATAATTATATAGAATGAACGTTATTTCTTATTAATTAGAAAATCAAAATCATCTTAAACAACAGATCGATAAACTTGAAAAACAATTATTTGAAAGTGAACAAAAAAATAAATATTTAATGCATACAATCGATGAATTAAATAACACTTTATCATCAAAAGTCGATATATCAGATACAAATAGTTCAAATAAAGATGACATTCAAATACCAATACAAATAACAAATAATAATGAATGTCAACATTTATTCAACATGACATTGGAAAAAGAACAACAATATGTACACGAAGTAAAATTATAAGATTGAATTACTAATTGTATTTTGATCACAAACAAGACATAATGAGATTAAAGGCAAAACTGAGATTGATTGAAACTAAATTCATCCCCAAGGACCTTTGAAGTCAAGTTAGGATCGCTTTACTAAACTTTCAATTTAGCTTTAGATAGGTGCATGTAAAAACTACGAATATCATACAAATACTCATAGTTTCTTTAAATTTTCTATTAAATAAGAGGTTCTATCTGGATATTTAATTGTAAAACATCTTGTATAATGAAAAAATCAAAGTAACTAAACTACAAACGACAAAATGCTTGAGAATCATATTTTTGATTTAAAATATAAAGTTTATGGTTAGGATGAATTCATGTAGACTTATAAGTATAGTACAGGAGTAGACGCTTAAAATGCAAAGAAAAATTTATTACAAAGATACAAAATGTTTATACAATGTCGAAGCATTTTTAATACATTCTTAAATAACACTTGTCAATAGATCATTTCATGCTTCATCGATTGTATTCTCTAGTTAAATAAAGACGAAATTTGTAAAAAAAGAATCCTAAAATAGCAATATGAATTCGTGTCCACAAAAAAATGCTATATTTCAATTGAAAAAAAAGCGCAATCTAGAATATAAAATCAAGCTAACTTGAACATTTCATATGTCGAAAAAAAGAGCATTATTTTCGACTGAAACCTACATAGGCACCAGAAACAGGACACTAAGCTGAAAGCTATTTTCATTTATTAAGATAGTCAAATTGCGATCTGTATTAATTGAAATTCTCAATGCTGAACAATTAAGTATAGCATCAAAAATTCTTATTCGTGATTGTTTAACATCAACAAATATGAGTGAAAATTCATTGAGTAAAACCACAACAACACCAGTTGATATGCTATATTTTAATGAAAATCAGCAACAGAAAACTGTAACTTCATCAACAGCTGGAAAAACTTCATTATTTCGACAGTAAGTATTTTGCTTGTGTTTTTCTATTTTCTATCAATTATAATAAAGCACATAACAAAATCAATTCATTTAAATAGTGAATTACCTGTTCGACGTTTGAATCTTTCACCACCACAAATTGCTGCACAGAGGTATCGTAATCATTGTTCTTGTCTTTTTTGTTTTATTATGATACACATACTTGCTTTTACTACATTGCATTTTGTCTATCATTCAATTTTACTAAACATATTAAATATTTTAGATCAAGTGGTCAACATCGTCCAATTGAACAACGTATAACTTTACCACCAATTACGTCAGGAAATAATTCAGCATTGTGCCGTGGTAAAAATAAATATTCTCTGTTTAGTATAAATCGTTGTTATTCTTATATATAGATCCAACTGATGTAAATGGTCAGCTTCATAACTCATCGAGTCCAAAAAATGATTCTCAAAATCAAAATATAACCCAGTTTGGTAAAACATCAATAGCTCGACGAGAACGAGCTACTCATGAATTACAAAAAAATAGACTAATGAAAAGTCTTTATCATTAATCATATATATTTATATTTTATATGTGTGTTTTTTTTTTATTTTAATATATGTAATTTTTGGTGATATTAAATTAATTATATTTTGTCAATAATAAATAATAAGTTTTAAATTATTCAACTCATCATATGAATATATTCAATGAAATTATCACATTGTGAAATACAATCTCACAGGAGTGTTGAATACAGACAGTATGCTAGTAAAATCTCATTATAATATATGAATTACTTCCTCGTTGCATTTCTGAAGAAGAGTGATGAAGAAATATGTCCTAAAATAGTGAGAATAAAACACTCTCTATGATTAATAGCTGCAACTATATTGTGTATTACATTTTAATTCCACAGAGATTGCGCTGACAACTTATCGACTATTTTTGATAAACATAATAAAATAAAGTCCATATTTTGCATGATTGATAGTATTTATGAATGGAGACTTTTGTTTCTTAAAATTTTATGTATCACGAATTAATCATTTCTTATAGGAAACTAATGAGCATTTTTTTTTTTTAATAAGAATCAAGAATTTTAAACAGCGGGACTTTCTACGGAATGGGCATGATCTTTATCCATACACAATACTTTCTCTGCGCAATACAATGAGGATGAGGCCCAGTGGACAAGTCACATGAGAACAACTTGTTTTCTGCGAAAATTGCATTTTTTCCATGAAAAGAAAAGTTTTTTTCACGAAAAATTTCGGAGAGCAATCGTAATCCTAAATTGTTGTTAAAAAATAAAGTTAACAAACTAAACATTATTCAATGAAGTTTCTTCCGTTGATTTTAAATTAGAACTCTAAGAAAATGAGAAAACTCAGTTTACTGAAGACGCATTTTTGGATAGTCCTTTAGTGCAAAAAAAAAGACTACTTCTTTTTAATTGAAAAGAGGTAAAACAAAAAATGTTTTACAAGTCAAGAGAGCAGACATCCTACTTTCAGAATAGAAACAAATTTTCTAGCCGACTCTTTCTATTTTTTTTGAAAAAAAGAATTTTTTTTTAAATCTCAGAAAATGTCCTTATTTTGTAACAAGGATTTTTCTAATAAACTGAGAAGTCGAAACAACCGAGTATATTCCACATTGTTTAAACTATCAAATATTTCACTGCGCATTGTGTGAGTATCGTGTAGAAGTATACGAACAGGACCATGTAGCTTTAATGAAAAATTTCAGCAGACTTCTTTTATTCTTATAAAAAAGTACACCTTCCATAATATGTGAAATTTCACCTTATTGTGCAGAAAAACTGATAAGAGTTTTTAAAATATTCCAACGAAATATTTCCTTGGACAACTCTAATTTACGAAACGTTTGAATATTCTACACTTAACATTCCTTAATATTATGACTATGAAAAGTCAAAGACCTCCCAAACATAAGTTTCCGATTGTATAATTATAAAAATATTCTTTTCGTGTCAATGGAAGATGTACGACACATCATCAAATTGACTAGGGGTTTACTTTTCAATAGACAGATAAGAGAGAGAAAAAAAAAACAATAATCAAATATTGAATTTTATTTCGTCTTTTATCTATACATTTTTCAAGCAATTATATAACATTAATATAACAAATATTTATATCCATTATTTTACACAATAATAAAGATTTTAAAATATTCTCGAAATTATTATATTCAAATAAACAAAGAAAAACTTAATTCATACGGAACTTCTCAAGCAATTGTTAACAATGGTAGATTTTGAACAAATATTTTCTCTTCTCCGAATCATTCTATTCGCTCTTATTACTTTGGTTGCTTTTATTTATGCAATTCCAATTATATTGATTCGTCGTTTTCATCGTCGTAATATGATACTTACACTCAATATATGTTTAGTTGCTATATGCTGTTCTCTCTATTGGACTGTCTTTTATGCAATACTGAAATTGAATGCTTTGATTATGTATAAATTTATGTTAAATTTGTGTACATTCGTACTCATTTTCTCAACATTCATAACTCTTCAAGTTCCTTTTAGTTTTGTTACAGCTTCAATTAATCGTTTTTGTTCTGTAGTATATTATAATAAGAATCTATTCAAAACAAAACAATGGGTTTCCATTTGTATTGTATGTCAATGGATATTTGGAGCTCTTATGACATTACCGATTTTATTAGGCGTTCAGCCGGTAAATTTTGTTTTTTATATAAAAAACATTTCATTGTTTTCAACTTTGTTTTTTATAGTATTGTATTACTTCACAATGGGTAGAAATATATAAGTTGATATTTATTGTCATAGTTCCATCAATTGTTTTTCTTATTGTTAACATTCTTATATATATTACTATTCTATCATCATCTCATCGTGTTCGTCCACGTTCAATTTCCATAACAGAAAACAATTCTGCGAATGTTCGACAGGAAAGAATTAGCCGACGCGATATTCATCTACTTCGGCATATGATTCTAATGTTTTCAATCTTTGTTGGAGGATGGACTCCATTATATGCACTTTTTGCTATTCAAAGTCAGGTTTTTGCCAATACAATTCTATCTCAATGTTTTACAATTTGGTGCCAATTAGCTTTTTTATGTGACATTATCGATCTTTATTTGTACAATCATGAAGTGAGAAAATATCTTAAAAAGATACTGTGTCGATGTTTCTGATCATAGAAGAAGATATTTATGAATCTTATTTTAAATTAACAATAATCGATGGAAATACTAATTTTCAAACAATATGTACAAAACTATTCTTTTCATAAATAATAAAAGACTTTAAAATTATGACCATAATTATGTAGTGAATTTCATTAGAAGTGTATTCTTTAATTTCGATGACTAATCATTAAAAGGTTCATCACTATATGTCATCCAGAACGAGCGTTTCATTGAGGGCTTATTTTCTCTTGCAATTAAGAAAAGCCAACTGTTACAGCAGGAAGAGCGATTAAAAAAAAGCATAGTTCATTAAAAGTCAACTAAATATTTTTGTTCGACTAGAATTCATATATGATCTTTTTGCCATTACATAGAGCAATGTTGGTGACGTCTATCTACGTAATGACTTGTTGAAATGAGCAAAAACATAAAGTTCTTGAAGCATGTACATATATCATATTCTTCACCATCATTAATAACAAACAATCACAACAGTGAAAATGTATTACTTTGAATCGGATCATATTAACACTCGAGATATACTTAACATCTGATCCGCTGTTGAATATAGTTGGGTGTAAATTTGAATTGAAGTTTGTCGAAGCATATCGGATATGAGTTTCACTTGGAAATATATGTCGACTTCTGCAGAATGTCTTTTTTTTCCAATAATTTACTCCGATTCTTTTTGCATCATGTTTCACAGTTGATTGGAAATCAATGAGCCATATAGTTATGCATTCATATTGTTTAATCGTAGAACGAAGGTTATTGAATAATTAAGAAAGAATTTCAACAATTTTTATTCCAGCATAGAATACGACGAATCAGTTTTTATAACTTGGAAGGATAATGATATCCATCTACAAAAACAATCCAAGTATCATGAAGAATCTCAAATATTCGAATTATATAGATAAGTTACTAAAAAACATCGAATACATGTTCAATAAGGAAGTGATAGATTGGTGCAACTATTACATTAACTATGCAACGGGTTGGTAACAGAAGGAAAAATTTTTATGATGTCTATATTCAGAGCTCGTACCTTCTTTAAATAATTTTAAAAGAATGTTACCCATCTATAAAAACAATCATAAATCTGTTATAAATCGATTAAAATTATACTATTTTTATTTAATTATAATCTCTGACTCTGGGTCTCTATTTTGACTTTTTCTAAGTTTTTGGATTTTTTTTCTAATTTCTTTTACTGATTCCAATGATTTAAGCTAATGTTTCGTTGTTTCTTATGATAATCTTCAATATGTTTAGTGTCCTGTTATCAATCCTTTTGTAATTGTTAAAGTTATTTTTGTTGTTATCAAAAATACATCTTTCGCAATAAGTGTCTTTTCCTAACAAAAAGAAAAGCTTTTGAATACGTTTTGTACTCTGCAGTCATTTTGATAATTTGATTTTTTGTAACATCGATAAGTCTAACGTCTTGCCTGTGAATACAACTCTACGTGAAATGTATCAAACTGCTTGTTTCTTTACAATCTAGACATGAGAGTTTTATTAGTATTCGTGAAGTCACATGTGTGGACATTACACATCGTGCAGGATGAGTAACAAAAACATTTTCTCGAATGTGATGTGACACAATTGAATGCCCTATCCAATGCTGAGCCCTACACCTTTCATCTCTTAAACAAATATCTAAGTTTTATCAGTCAAAGTAACGATAAAAATAACTCTTTTCTTTTCATAACTTATTTCAATAATATCTTTTAATTTATTAATTCCATTCAATATACAATAAATAAATAAAAATATTATGTTAGAAAGAAAAATATACGGTTGTAGATTAGATATTCTTTATCAGGCGATTGATTTGCAATATGCATATAGCATCAGTGAGAATAACAATTAATGCAAAATTAATCAGTCCGTTTATATGCGTTTTTCTTTTTTTCCAAAAAAGATGTTTTTCGACTGAAGTACACTGTACAGAATTCTAATTCTGACTGAAAACTGAAAATCGATACAGGGAAGCAATCTCAACTTTGACTGATTGCAGGTGAAACACCTCAAAGACGTAAACTTACAGCACAACGTAAGGAACATATTCTTACACCAATTTTGAATGGATCAACACCTATGCGAGTAAGTTTGAGGAAACTTAAGATATCATTTTCATATGAAATATCAATGTTAATCACGCGATGTCTGTAGAAGGAGATTCAAATGTCTACCCTTATACTTCATCTTTTCATCGAGTTTGAAATAAATGAACGTTTAATCATCTGCAATAAATCTTTAAATTTAGACTCCAAAACTGAAATACTTGATGATATACGACATCGTAAATTAGTAAAAACTAATCAATAAAAGGAGAATAATATATCACCTCCTTTATTAAATAAAGATATTCTTCCTCTAATAAATAATGAAGAAAATGATCAGGAATATTCACCATTAACTCAACAAAAATAATGAAGATGTATTTAAAACAGCTCGATTATGGGAACGATATGAAAAACCATTTTGTAAACGAGATCGATTGTGTTATGAGAAGTAAAGATTTATTATTTATTTGATAAGATCAATTATTTCTTTTTAGAGCACATGAAATTTATAATAATGATATGGAACGAAAAGTAAAATTTTCGATGCGAAAAATCGTGTTAATCTATGGCCATGGAATTAAAAAATAAACTTTCATTATGTTTTTCTTTTTGCTATTAATCCCATTTATATTTCATGTCTATAGAAAAGAAGTTTTCGGTTTTTTGTAGATATTTGTGTTTTATCTAGCGTTTTTCTTCTGGCTTTTCTTGCTTCTATTAGTCTTGCATTACTAATCTTAGGTTGTGCATTGACCCAATAGTATGTATTTATGATATATTTAATCTTTTTTTTATGAGAATTTTTTTTTGTTTGAAGCAATTGGTGGCCAACATTTATGATTATATTTTATGTACTTTGTCCGATTCCATTAGCAATTGGACGTCGATGTACATCGGATAGTTATAGTATGCGTGATTCAAGTTCATGTACAGATTTAATGTGGTTAATAACAAGTGTTATCGTTATTTCTGCATTTGATTTACCAGCAGTTATGTGTCGAGCAGCTGTTGTAAGTAAAAATTAAATTTTCTTAAAATTTAGATTCATATTGGTTCAATGGGTTTTATAATGGCAGCTAATGTCGTTATATTTACAACGATTGCAATCTATTTCATGACATTTAGTTCGGATGATAGTTTACCGATTTTTTTAACGAACGATTGATATTATTTAAAAAGGAGCACTCATTTTGTGTAATTGTATTATTCACTTTTCTCATTTTATTGTGTATTATCTTTTTTCAGAACAAGACTTTTTTCCGTATAAAAAAATCTCTATCTATTATGTATTTTTATCGTTTTTCGTGCGTATCTTTAGTTAATAAATAGTTTTTAATTGACATTTCTTTTTTGTGTATATAAATTGAATACTCAGTTTGTTATAATAGATCATGCTTTGTAGTTTATCCATTTAATGTGATAGAAAAATAATGAAGTTTTTTTGTTTGTTAGTTACAAGCATTTATCAATAGTATGGTCTTTATTTATTCAATGTTAGTCTCATGTAGTATTATGTTTTTTTTGTCTTTTGAGTGGGAAGTGAACAAGCATAAAGTAATTTACCTTTCTCTTTGTTCTTTTCTTTTTTCATCTACTGTTTATTCTGTATTCTATATAAAAGACAAGAAAGAGAGAAAAAATGAAATCTGTCATCGTATTTATAACCTTTTAATATGGTTTCGAGTGTGAAGATATAAGTATTAGAATGTCGAATAGTTTGGATGATGGTCATATTCGACATGAATTTCGTTCAATTTTAAATATTCTTATTCATTTTTCATTTTCACTTACTCAATTAGTTACTGTACTTGCTATATTAGGTTTACTAATAGCATTAATAGTGACTCAAACATGTGCATATCGTTTTGGTATTGGTTTCTGGTCATTTCCTTTCTTACTTATTTCTCCGCTTAGTATTTGGTTAGTTATATGGCGACGTAGTTCAATATCTTGTCTTATAATCGATCAAATTGGATTCGTTTGTTCAACATCTTCATTAAATTCTTCTTATGTTATATTAAATAGTTCATTCATTGGTATAGCTGGTCTTTTTAAATTATTTAATTATGGTGAAGTTATTTTACTTTATATACTTTTTCGAAATAATGATCAAACATCAACAATATTTATTGAAGAATATTATGAAAGAGATCATTCATTTATATCAGATGCTAAAAATATTAATGTATGGCGTTCATGATCAGCAGTTACTGGTGAAACTCAAATTAACTCAGATATCGTTTTTGCTTGATATAAAAAATTTTTTTACAATAAAGGAAAATAATGGTAGGCATTTTCTGGAAATACAATTGATTTGTTAATGTAAAGCCGTTTTACTTTAGAATTATTGACTCGTGTAGATTCATTTGTGAAAGTATTTGTCACAGTTAGTAAATCTTCATACTTTGTATCTAACACAAAAGATTGAGAAAAACGTGTATGTTCATCGCATAAAAATTAATTAATATAATCTATATGTGTGCAGAATAACATGATCTTTTATGTTGTATATAGTCGGAAAAACTTTTAGGAGCTGGCAGATTTCCCATCTAATCATGCGGGGCCTTTTGAATCATTCTCCTATTCAATATTACTAATCAATTGAACTTTTTATCTATACTGCATAGAATGAAACTTGTTTGAATCGATCATTTCTGTTATCATATTATCGATATATGATTAAAACTCCGAACCTATCGTGTTGCTCTTTTGTATTAGGAGTAGAGAACACATAAAGTTAATTGAAATTATTACTAATGTTTTAATTATGATTGAACTGAGAAAAAAATTATTAATCATGGCTTAAGAAATTCTTTTTTACTTTATATTATCAAGAAAATACAACTAATTTTTGTGTTGATATGAACAATAGCGAACTAAACTGAAGAAAAAACAAACAAATCAACGGTGATGGAAATCTCATCATTAATTCATCATCAAATCATGTTCTCGATCAATTAACATTCTCGACGTTGAACTGTTAGAAATACACATTGGATCAATGCCAAGAAGATTAACAAATAAACTAATGATCTATTATTTCAAAATACGGAAAATATATCTTTTTAGAATAAAAATAAAGAAAAAACTTATCATGAATTTTTCAATTACCTCCATAACAAAACATTTTTCATGTTGCAGGAGTGGTAGTTGAGTCAAATAATAATGGATTAGGTAATCGTTGAGTAACATTTTCCTTAATATTAATAAAATAAAAATATATTTAATATATTTGTATTTTATTTACGGTTGATGACTCACGTTCTTTTCTTCAAGATCAGCACAATCACAGTAGAATTTCGAATAACATGGAATATTGCTATAAACAAAAAAGATTTGCTTTATGATTATAGATAATTTAAATACATACTTTGATAATATATTACAGAGCACATTTGTGTTTTTTTATTGGAATATAAAAGTTTTAATATTATTTCTTTTAATTTTTGATGAAATTCACAATATATATTTTTGTTTTTAATTCTTTTGGTTAGCATAAAGATAATTATATTTAAATCTGTTGCTGTTTCAAGTTCTTCATTAAGAATATCATTTATGAAATAATTCATTATTTCCTTTAGAATTTGAGCTTTATTGTCCACCCAGGTCGAACACCCACGGTCGTAAACGACCGTTTGCGAAAAAAAAACGGAAATATACGGAGACCGTAAACGGATCCCGTATACGATAAGGGTATACGGTGTAAAACGATCAGAAACGGATTCCGTATACGGAGGGTGTGGGTGTGGGTATGAGTCTTTTCATTCATCCACTCCCAAACCTCACCCACCCCCACACCCACCACCCCCACACCCACACTCACACCCCACACCCACACCCACACTCACACCCCACACCCACACCCACACTCACACCCCACACCCACACCCACACGCACACCCACACCCGCACCCACACCCACACCCACGCCCACACCCACCCACACTCACACCCACATCCACACCCTGTTTGGTTCAGAGCATTAAATGGCAATCCATGAGATATGAATAGTTGTGAAGAGTACATCTTAATTATTTCTACAAGTGATAGAGTATTTTTGGAACTCAAAAGTATTTGTAAGGATCATTTCACAAACGAATAATTCTAACAGCAATCTTTTCTTCAGATATTACGCCATATAAGAGGATGGGTATCGGTGTTTTTCTTTTCTTAACTCATACTACACTCAGACTCACATCTCCTGATTCAAGTGTAACTATAAGTTTATGACAAAAAGATTTAACATATTTACAGAATGGGAGAAAAGATGTGAGACAGTGATGATGAGCTATAATTTGACCGTGCTTATCGTCAGTTAGCCGACTTTGGTGCGATTCAATCGACGCGGAAATGAGCTTGACGTTTGGAAAAAAGTAAGTTTATAGCTATATGTTTGTAGAAGTATTTTCGAGTTAGTTAATCCATTGTCGCTGATTTTTCTGAATACCGCAAAAATACGTTCCTCCTTTTTGCCTCCTTCATACGATTCATTTTTAAAAAGCGGGACTCTCCAATTAGATCTTCTTCATATATAAAATCCGAAGATTCTTCATTCAAGCTTACGACATCATCATCGCTGTCACTAGTATCTATGACAATTATTACATTTTTCATTTCCCGATTTTTATGTTTCATTGCTATTCGACGTCCAGCTTTTTTATTATTACTGAACAAAGTATCAAGCATTCGTTGTGAAATAAATGCCAGTTGTTGGTCTTCGCGAGCCACTTTATAGAGATACAATTGACGTTTTGCCGTTTGTTGATCGATGCGGCGAGAAAACAAATAAACCTCATTTCCAAAACTTGAGCCGAAAGAAAATGAAGAATTTGATATAATCGATTTAGAATTTTATTTTTCTCTTCATTGTCAATCATGTCCACAACTATATGATTTTGAACATTTCCAATAAGCCGTAGCGGTCGATCATTTGAACGATGACCAACAACAATCGTTGTTACTCCACCTAAAATTGCCAAACAAAGATTCTTTTAAGAAGACTGGGATTATATTTTTCATGTAAATAAAATCTTGAAAAATATTTCGTATCCGTTTTTTGTGTACTCAAAAAGTGAGTACACTCTAGAATCGGTCAGTATGTCCGGCCGTCCGGCCGTTTACATGATAACTTTCGAAAGAAGAGTCCGATCACGATGAAATTTTCTATACAGTTCAGTCTTTACAATATCTCGGTCGAGTTCGAAGATGAGAAGGATCGGCTGAGCCGTTCCTGAGTTATTGCAAAAATACCCATTTTTTCCTATAGCTTCCTATGGAAAAATCGGCCCATCGCCACTTTCGTAAAAGACTTTTCCTATCATAGTCAATTAAAACCCCAACTATTATATACCATTCGATAGAGAATTTCAACAGCTACTAAATGATATATAAAACATAAAGAAGCAAGAAGGTTGACTCACCTATCACAAGGATAATTAAAGAGAACTAGGTTATATTTTGGTCCATGATCTAAAAGGTCCATGTTTAGAGCTCTATCTTCCGATCAGAGTGATGATACTTCGAGGTTTTCAGAGCTGAAGAACTCGAATGTGTACTGTACTTCCATCGAAATGCTATTGGTTGTGCATTGACCAATAGAAATGAAGTTATAGAAAAAACGACTTTGTTAGGGTAAATCACGGGAAAGAGTTCAAACTTGAGCTGTATTCGGTCCCAAGTCCTATTGGTTTGGCAACGCGCAATAGAAATCAAAATTTTAAATGGTAGGTTCCCCAGTATAATTTTGATGTTCAGACATTCTAGGATGGCTGATTCGTATGATTCACTTTTTGAAGTACACATAACTCTCGGATTTAAATCCGAAGTTTCCGCATTTATTTTAAACTATTTATTCTAAACTCTCTGTAATTGTTTGTGCCAGTAGTAAAAGAAAAGACTTTTGAGTTGCTTTTTTAATGTGTTTTTGAAGAGTATAACGTATGGAAATATGCAAAAATAGATTTATAGATATTTTATAGATAAATAACGTTCGAAAAGATTTTGTCCAGTTTATACTCTTGAACTTACCAAGAAATGCTTGCAACCAATATTGACGTTTAACGTCCTTTTGAATATCTGAATTTGATCGACATTTGAGCTCAATTGCTTCTTCATTTCTTTTACAGATCGCATCGGTTTCAGCTTTTATTAACATTGTGAGGTTGCCAAAACGTCCTTCGATCAATTGATAGTAATTAGCTTTGAGATGATAATCAGGTGTACACATTTGTTCAAATCGATGTCCAAAATCATTCATACCAACGATTCGACGATCATAACGTCTTAGAAATAATGTTGAAGCAAACTTTTGCACACCTACTACATAATTTTCGTTGTTCATTGCAATTTTTCTCAATGAATTTCTTTCGCTTATAATATTATATTGACCAATGTTGATATCATTACGACCAGCAGCAATCAACAATGATAAAAGTGAAGTATATTCAGGTTGAGGAATTCGTTGATTGGGTAACCTGGATGAAAATATAGCATCCTGATTTGGCTCTTTGTAGTAAGGAATTTTAGGAGGTATGGCAATGCATCTATCATAAGCATTAATATTTCTATAATCTTGAGGAAGATTCCATTCGAGATTAAATGCAGCGCGAACTCTAGCTGAATAACGATCAGCTAAAGAGAGCGNGAAGTCTAATGAAGTCTCATGAATTCTTCTGAAAGTTTTGAAATACATTTAGTGCATGAAAATTCATAAGAAACCAATGAAATTGTCTTGTTTTCGACGATCTTATTTTAGCAGAAAGGTGAACTATTTATTGTTTTTTTTTCAATGTGCTGGAAAAAATTCAAGCTTGTTTATTCTTAGTAAACGTAATAGGTAATAACTGAATGCTTTTTGAATGAAGTGTTTTATTTTTATAAGAAATGTTTTCTATTCAAATCAATCTAATGAAGAATTTTAATCCTTATTGTTTGTTTCTATCACTCTTGATAATCTATCGGCCGATAAACGACTAGCTTTGTAAGTTAATAACCAACAAGCCGTTTACTTGTGTATAAATTTAGTCTTGTTATTTATTTGCACTTGAAAATAGAAGCTTTTTCATTGCTGGATTAATCGAATCAAATATAGGCATACCAGTAAAAATTATTTTCTCAGTTTTTATTTTATCAACACTGTCATTGCCGCATCTTTATCTTCTTCATCCACATTAATTAGATCATTATCAAATTCATTACTTTCCATTGTTTAATCCTCATAATCAGATTCAGAGTCTGATGAAGAAATGTGTGGGTGTGGGTGGGGTGGATGTTCTTTTTTTGTAGTCCACACCCACACCCACATCCACACCCTTTGTTTTTTGCATGTTATAGAGGTTTCATGTAATTTCTATAAGGTTTTTTGATACGCATGGAATCTGCCTCTTGACGTCCTGTGAAGTCTTATGAACTCTTGTGAAGTTTTGTGAAGTCTTGTGAATTCTTATAAAGTCTGATGAAGTCTTATAAAGTCTCAAGAAGTCTTACAAAGTCTCTAAAGTCTCATGAAATCCGTGAAGTCTCACGAAGCCTTTGGAAGTTCCATAAAGTCATACAAAGTCTTATGAAGTCTTGCGAGGACATTTGAAGTCCTATGAAGTCTTTAGAATTCTTTTGAAGTTTTGTGAAAATATAAAGTCACTGTGGCTGAAGTCTGTTGAAGTCTTGAAGTCTTGAAGTCCGCTGTTTCCCCCTTGGGTTACCTCTACAGAGTGCTTTAATGGATTTTTGTCCCTGTGCAGTTCAGGTAGATGAAAGGACAGTTTTTTTGTGGACATCATATCCTTGAAATTTTGTAGCCCTTACTTATTGCTAGTGACCCTAAAAAAATCATGCCGATTCTGAATTGTATAGTGGAGAACGAAGGTCAACAAGGTAACCCCTTTAGGGTATTTATATGCATATTTCTGATGGGATGAAAGTAAAGGAAAAGTTCAATGGATAAAGTTAAAATTTTGTGTAGCGGCTAATGGTATATAGCTGAGTATTTGCTGAAAGTTTCAGATAAATCTGCCTTCATCTTCTTGGGGGCTGAAATGCACTTAAAAGGTCTGACATCGTTTATCATTTTTTATCCATAGATTCAAATAAAAGATTAGTTTATCAAGATATTGAATAATTGTTTATAGTTTATACATTTCACTCTCATATATTAAAAAAAAACTTGATATTGTTGTTAATTTCAATATGAAATTAAAAAATATTTTTTTCCATATTTCTTTGATGAATATCTTATCAGTAATTAGTAGAATATTTCAATTGGTTCAATCAAATCGAGTTTGAATATTTCATCTATATGATATTTTAGTTACAAATTAAAAATTAAAATTTTTCACTCGAAAATAAAAGAATAATGAACTATCTTGATTTTAACTAGTAAGAATTTTAGAACAAGAAAATGTTCACTTATTATTTTTACTCTATGGAGTTGTTTTATTTAATTATGATGTTGTTAGGAATTATAGTTTGTGAATAAAAACTAGGGGTGGGAAGTTCCCGTTCCCGTTACCTGGTAACTGGTAACTTTTTCTATAGAAACCGCTACCGTTACCGTTACCGGGTAATGGTCTGGAAACGGTAACTTCCCACCCCTAACGTTAACCCAATAGTCAACATTGGACTAACGCATTAAATAATGCATATTTCATACAAATTATTTATGAAAATGTTTTCCAATGGATGTGATGTTCGAAAAGGAGTTTTTGATCAAGTCAAGTCTATTTTTATCTTAATGAAACGAATCTGATCGTATTTCAGTTAAATTTTGTACAAAACCTAGTTTTTAATGGTGCTACGGAATGTTTTCAACCTTTCTTATTATCTGAGTACTTTTGAAAAGAAATGAGTTATTTGTAATCAGTACACTTGGTACTATTGAATTTTAAAGATCTGTGATAGAGCAGCAAAAAAATGTATTTTCGATATCTGAGGAGGTCTCATGTGTGAAAAGTTGTTTTATGATAAAGTAGAAAATAAAAATATGAAAAATATTCAGGGCTCAATGCAGACTCTCAATGGAATAAAATTAGGTTCAAAATTTGTTGGAGCCTTCGATCCGTAATTCGACTCCACTTTTGATGTATTAGAATGTGATTAATATCTGATAACAAACTAATAAATCAATAACCATCAACTACCTACTTTACTTTATCTTATTTTATTATATCCTATTTGTTCGGTAAAGTGGATCTACTTTATATGAAAAGGAAAGTAAAGTAAAGTGAAGTATGTGTTACTTTACAGAGCAAGTAAGATGTAATAAAATAAAATAATGTAAAGTGNGCGCGGCCGCGGTCGGGGCGGCGCGGGCGGCCGCGCGCGCCCCGGCCCCCGCCCACACCCACACCCACACCCGCACCCACACCCACACCCACACCCCTCAGAAACGTATGACTGAGAGAAACGGTGCACAGAGTATATATTTATATCGACATTAGTCATAGTCAAGAACTTTCTCACACATTCCAATCCTACGGAGAGAACAATGAGTCATTTGCATTTGAATTTTTCTCCCCCTTGCCATATTCTTGATTAGCTTGCAAATATCATTAGTTCGTGAGGGTGTGGGCGTGGGTGCGGTTGTGAGTGTGGTTCTGGGTGTGGGTGTGGGTGTTGCTGTACAGAATACACTCACGGCCACATCCCCCACCCACAGCCGACACCCACACCTAATACGCACACCCCGCGCCCCACACACACCCCACCCACACCCACCCACACCCACACTCACACCCACCCACACCCACACCCACACCAACACCCACACACACCCACACCCACACCCTGCCTGTAAAGATATTAGTTGTGAGAGGGATTTGAATTTTTCCTTTTAATTCAAATACTTATTATATTTAGTATTGCACAACATCAATCTATCTAATTAGAATCAATGTATGTTGTACAAATTGCCAATGCAAAAATAATATTAGAAAAAAAACTCGAAGAAATGAAACACTTTTCGATAAAGAAAATAAAACACTTTTTTGATTTTGTCGTCAGATTTTGGTCGATTTCGATTACAATTGAGATGAAACATTTACCAGTAAAATATCATGCAGGTGATAAGCAATTGAATTATGTTTAGACTACAAAAATACAGAAGACATAATCTTCTACTCTTTACATGCATAAATCTTATAGATATCTCAATGAAAATAAACACATCGAAAAAAAGAGAATACATACAGATCATTCCAAAGCATTTGTTTCACAGTATATCGTATCATAAAACATTCGAATGCTGTTTGTACTTGCTCGTCAATACATGTTACAAAAAAAAAGAAGCATTTTTCTTTCTTTCTTTCTCATACAAGCCGGACAAATATTCAACGAAAAAAGTTCATATTCGGTCAATGCAGCAAAATGTTTGAACGTCCATCTGTCTAATATATGATGAATAAATTATCATTCCTTTTTTCTTTTGCATGCTGACGACAGTATAGCTATATATATTTTAATATTTGCCGTAAAGGAAAGAGAGAAACACACATGAACGCATTTTATTCTATTCGCTGTTAAATTGTTCTATAAGAGCGATTATGAGAATCAAAATAGATAAAAGAGACAAACATATGATTCATAGTTCAAAATGAAATCAAACAATCGTCGTACGAAAAATTTTAAGTAAATACATAATCAGAAGAAAATCTGCTATTATCATAATAAAAAACACCAAAACTTTTCTTGACATTGAACGTGATACAATTAACTGTCTCGTCCAATGCAGAATCCTGCATGAATATCCACTTACTTTCAATCACTTAGAATAATAGTAACAAAAAAAAAGATCTTTTCGTTTCATACTTTATTTCTATGATATTTTCTTATTTATTAATTCCATTGAATATATAAGAAAGAAATAAAAAGATTCTGTTAGAAAGAAAGATTTTTCGTTGTACACTAGAAATTCTTTAGCAGTCGTCTGATCTGCAATATATATGTATAGCATCAGTAAGGACAATCGTGGAAACAGAATCAATCAGTTCATGTATACAATGCTGTGAACGTTTTGCATTTTTTTTTAAAAAGAATGTTTTTTATAGACCAATAAATTTGTTTTATGCTATATCGATTAATGCAATATTTTTCTGAAAATATTATCCAAACATTTATTTGTAAAATATAATTTAAGAATTTATCCTGATGAGAATATATTCATATTTTTAACGGTATAAGAATTGTATAATTACCTCACGTGTAAACAATCTAAACAAAGCTGTACTTTCAAGCTTTTCGTAAAAGTACTATACAAAATAATGATTCTAATTGCAAATTTGAAATTGATACAGAGAAGCAATCCAAACGTTTGACTAATTAACTAAAAAGAGTTGTTAAAAGAACTCAAATATGACTTGCTCAAAAGTTATCTTTTACTAAGACAACATTTCTTCATTGATGTCAATTCATTATTTATTACTTATCATAAAGAGAATAATTTACCTATTTTTTTAATCTGAATTTAGTCACAACCACTTGTCATGAGTTATTTTTAGACCTATCTTAGAATGAAGATTACAGTTGACAGTTGACAGTTGCCATGAGAATTCGGTTGAGTTTGGAATAAATTATTGCTTTGAAATAAACGAAATACTTGAAATGCAATAAGTTTTTGTAAATAAACTATATTTCAGCTAAAATTACTTCAGATATATATTGGATATTATTCAATAGAACTACAAAAAAAAAATGCAGCGAGTCTAATTCTTACAATAACATACGTGCCCATTGTGATTGAAAATCTGCCACTGCCACACCAATGTCATAGGAAGGAAAAAACCCCACACCCTCTGCGTTCACGGTGGCAGCACGGTCTCGCCATTGCCATGGACATCTTTGTTCAATAACTTTTTTCGTTGTCGCAAGAAATAGATGCACTTTACCATCCTATTATTGTTTTTTATTTACATTAACATCAAACAAAAACAAAAAACACTTTGTTGATCATAGTCGAAGTGGATATGACTATTTTACGATATTGATTTATTATCGATGTAATACGTTTAAACTTAAAGATCCTCTAAATAGAATGTAGTTCCACTAGTAATTAATACTTCTTGAATAGAAAATGTAAGAACGTTTTCGCAGCTATCAAAGTGAAGAAATCAATTACCTTTCTAAACAATTGTTTCAAAATTGATAGAAAAAAGCTTCATTTAAATTGTTATAATTGTCATACACTTGGCATTTGCCGTACTACGTTTACATGGACTAGTTTCGAATATTATTTAGTTGTTGTATTTGTCGTTTAACAAACTGCTAGAAAATTTAAGAATGTAAGACCGAAATTAGATTACTGATTTCTTTTCATTGTGCTTAATGTTAAATATATGATTACTTCCAAATCACAATAAGAGTTCGTGTGGACTGATATTTACAATCAGGCTTTTCAGTATTTTCAATTTCATTTCAAATCAAGTTTTAGAATAGAATTATCTGTGAATTTCAATTAGAAAATTCATTGATGTTTGTCTTATCAATATCATGATTATTTGTTAGAGGAATAATATCTTGTTTGTTATATGTAACAAATGGTCGTTTAAAACAATGCTTATAACTAATTATTTCTTTCTTTCTGGTTGTCTTTCTTCCATGTTGTTATGAACTATAACATATTTGTACCAAATATTAAAGTGTTTACATTGCTTTTTAACCAATATTATGTTAACTTTTCAAATATTCATTATAAACGAAATGAATTTAAAATGAAGATCGATTTATTTTTTATGTATTCAGTATATTTTTCTAGTTTTACATTATATTCAGAGCGACTACTAAGATAGACAAACAATAAAACAAACGACTTTTTTAAGCATAGAAACCACACTTTTTAAGGAACTAAAATACCATTTTATTTTTGGAAAAAGTAGTTAGAAAACTCTTTAGCTCATAATGATTGACTACCTTTATCCTTCGAAAATATCAAAACTATTTAATACAAATGAATTAAATCAGTATATTGCAGTCACTTCAATTATAGATGGTTCTATTAATGGATGAAGTCTTACGAGGATTAGATGGTTCAAACTCATATGTGATTTGACTCGACTATGTATAACTAGAGTTCAATTATATTCACTGGCGGGTTTTGGATAACAAAACTCTAATGTAGAATGATTTAATTTATCAGCCAATTATAAATTTGAACAGTTTCGTACCTCTAAAATGCATTGGACTTCTTTACCAATTCAATAACTCTTGCAACACAAACCTGCTAATCATTGATCTTTGATCAAGATTAAAAATTGAACAATATTAATTAGATATACAATATTTTGTATGATAATACCTTTGGGGATGCACCAATTCCAATTCTCGGCTTGGAATTGGTGGAATTCATTGGAATTGGAATTGGAATTGAAATCGATTAGAATTGGTTTTTGTAAAATCACTGATTTCGTACATATTTTGACAAATTATAAGTTTTTTTCAGATCAATTCCAAACCAATCCAAATTTCAATTCCAACCAATTCTGACCAATTCCAACTTCCAATTTCACCAATTCTAAGAATTGGAATTGTTGCATTCCTATATACCTGATCATCTTAATATTGGTCTTCGTCAAAATTCTCACGAAAATATCTATTTCATTGGCATGATCAACAAATCGAACAAACGCTATTTAAATTATTTAGAAATTATTATTATTATTGAAGATATTTCGAAATCATATTTTATTGACATTTCTTTTTTGCAAATAAATAAAAACATAAAAGAATGTGAAACTCATTTGCTGAATAATTAGCAAATCTGAAAGGAAAATCAAGCAAAGACAAAACAGAAGATTTTAGTGATCCAAAACCAGTAGACGAATTTTAATTAACACTTTGCTTATTTATTTGATTAAATGATAAAATAATATCTCCAGCTGCTTCTTCTTCTCCAATTCCAAGGATTTCAATTATAGATCCATCAAGTTGAGGTGAATCTTAAAGTCGACCATTGATACGATTTTGAGAAATCTTTGGAAAAATTTAGTTTTTTTTCTTTTCATATATATATATATTATATATCATAAAAGATTGCTCACTCCGAATCGATTCTTTTCAAAAGCTTGTTCATAAAATTGTTCAACTTCTTTTGTTTGTATAACATTAGTTGGCAAACGAGATGTTGTCATTAAAGAAAGACTTGCTCGAGCATTATTACTAATCTAAGACAAATCACAATTACTATGCAACAAAAAACAAAAAGAAATCCTCCGAACTAACATGTTTAACATCAAATCTTACAATTCCACCAATTAATATTGTTTGTCCAATATCTAATAAAACATTCACCAGTTGAATAACAGCTAATTGATGACCGAAATATGAAAGTTCTCTTTGCTTATTACATTTATTAATCATCGTCAAGAAGAAAAAATAATAAATTAAAATTTAATAAAAATAAAAATTTTTATTTTTACTTGTTCAGATAAAATAACTCCAAGTGTATCATTAAGCCATTTTTCATTTTTATATGAGTCAGGATTAAAAGCTCGCATTTTCTTTTGTCGATAATTTGTATGATTATCGACAATTAATTCAAATGAACGATCTTCGTTAAAAGAATTTTCACCAGATCAATATGTATATAATAGATCACTTTTTCATAAATTCATTTCAAATTCAAATTGACGACGTAGTTTTACCGTTGATTCAGTATTATTGAATATATTTATTTGAAATAGGGAATAGATATCGATTCTATGTCGAAATTCGGCTGCCTCTTTATCAATGTTATTAAAATGAGGAAGTTTGTTGCTGAATATTTTTCATTATCAATATGTTTTTTAAAACAATTCTATTCGTATATAGAAACTTTCTTATCTGTACTTGATAAAAATGTATTCTTCTAGGATCAATAAAATATTAAATACAATTTAGAATAACACTTCAATATTTTCATTGCATACCGTCAGAGCAACCGCCCATGATTTCTAACACCTTGAGCGATCTCTCTTTTCATCCAATTTTTGCATATAGGTAATTTCTATGTCTATCAGACTTTAAAGTATTATTTTATTATTTACACATATTAAAAATAAAAATCAAGCTTGGTTTTACACGTCAATCTTTTTAATAGATAATCATTTGAACCATTAATTGGCATTGAATGATTCAGCCAGTATTCAAAAAAACAAATTCTTTTTTTGGAAAAATGTTAAATATTCGAAAAATATCATTTGTTCAGCGTTCAATATCAATTGGAATTAATGCTCGTCGTTCATCTCAAACATCCGTATTTGATAAAAAACATATCATCACTAAAACAAAACCTGTTCCATTAGATAATCTTTCACCTGTTGTTCGTCAGATTCTTTCTAAAGATCCATCATATGCTGTTCGTTTTGGTGGTCAATTATCTCAAAATAAACAATATCTTATTCAACAACATTCAAGAACAACTGATCGAGCTGAAAATCTCTTCTGACAAATACCAAAAGATGATTTTATATTAGAAACAAATAAAGATGAAAATGATTTACCTCATCCTCCAATTGTTGCTTTTCCATCAATAGAAAATCATTTTCATATGGATTTAGGAACAGAAGATCCATCAATACCAATTCATGAAACAGCTCGTTGTTTTGGTTGTGGAGCTTCACTTCAATGTGCTGATAAAACTAAACCGTAAGATATTCTTTTTTTAAATATAATCTTTTACTTATTTATTAATCAATATTCTAGAAGTTTTATACCAGTTGAAATATATAAACATTATCTTTTAACAAATTTACAAAAACGAACAAGTCAATGTCAAAGATGTTTTCTTTATTACAAATATACAAATGATATATCACATTGTGAGGTTAATGAACAAGTTTATAAAGATATTTTAACAGAAATAAAACGAAAACATGCTGTAATTATATTAATTGTTGACCTTCTTGATATACCAAATTCAATTAGTGGATCATGGACACATCTTGCTGATCAAATAACAGATAATCATAATAGTTCAGCAAATATTATATTTATTCTTGGCAATAAAGTTGATTTATTACCAAAAGATAGACTTTTTTTTCGAATTAAAAATAGTTTGTTCTTACACAAATCGAGTTTAGGAAACTTTTTGTATATGTGTGCAAAAAAACCGGCTAGTTCAGAAGATGTATCATTGACTTCAGCGTCATTTCCCCCGAGTTTCTTAGCACTCACTCCACCGATTCATAAAAAATAAGGAATAACTCATATACTGGCAATATTTTTTTCAAACTTGAGAAGGATTATATAAAGGATATGCTCGAACTGATAACGAATGTATTTTAGACAATGAATCTTATTTGTCTGATGTTCGTCAATGTCTGGAAGGTAAGACGGAATTTCGGCAATGTCGAATATTCAGGTAGAATTTCAAAATTTTTCGAAATTCTACCGGCATTTCGACAATATTGTGGAATTTCCATTGTTGTCGAAATTCTTACAGAATTATGACAATAACAATTATTAATGGATATTTTATTGTCTAATTTCTTTCGGAAATACGACAATATACATGGCAAGTGGAACTGTAATGTATGGTAGAAATGCAGTTTTCTTAGTTTGAGAGTTAACATGAAGAAAATATATAGCAAGAACCAGATGTTACATAATAAATTAATTGTAAGTTTATTTTCTTTAATTAACATCAGTAACAAAATAAAGAAAAGAAAATAAATACAGCAAACTAGCTTGAGAGTGGTTGTAAATTAGTGGCGTAACCAGGAATTTTGTGTGTGCTGTATCTCAGCTACAAAGCATGGGACCCAGATGAAACTTATGGATGGTGATATCGGACTCAAATGATGAGATTTTATGAAAACCTTTTTGCAATCTTGTTTGGGATCAAGAAAATGCTAATTTTTTTCACAAACTTCAATTGCAAAAATTTTTCATAAAACCTCATTATTTGAGTCCAATATCGCCGTCCATAAGTTTCATCTCGGTCCCATGCTTTGTGACTGAGATGCAGCATACACAAAGATCCTGGTTACGTCACTAGTGTGAATGCGGGTGTTGGTGTGTGATGATAACCTTAGTGACACATTTTGTAAGTAAGATCTTGACCAAGATACAAGGTACAGAAAAGTGAGTAGATCTTACAAATCTAGGTACCAGATAATGTGATTATCTTGTACCAAGATCTGTAATTAGAACTTAGGTACAGATTTATAAGATCCTGGCTGAAATAGCTATGGTCTGAAACAATCACTAGAATTCATTCATGGATAACTGTGAATACTTTTAATGTAGCCTTTCCGATGTAAAATTTCACGCTGAATAGGAATCTGCAGCCAAGTTTCTATTACAAACACAAGAAACTGAGTTAGTGACTAATGGTCAATTCGAAAACTGTTCGAAATCGTCATCATAATGAACACCCTTGAATGTACATCACTTATTCTTGAACAACTTGGCACAATCACATTGCAAACAGTAGCAAAATTATGTTTAGTATTATTATTAAGTCAAGACCTTGAGTCAGATTTTAAGATCTTGAAAGAGAAATGTCACATTTTTATACCTTAAGTGCATCATATAAATCTGTACTCAAAATCTACTTACAGATCTTGGTACAAGATAATGTGATTATCTTGCACCTAAGTCTGCCAAGATCTACTCACATTTCTATGCATTGTATCTTGAATCTTAGGTACAAGATCTAAGATCTCGCTTACAAAATGTTTCGCTAGGGATTAATACTCACAACAATATCCACATCCACCCGCACCCTAAAGCTAATGATAATCTTCTAGGTGTGTTAAGAAGGAAAATCGAGGATATTGGACGATGAAGCAATGTGATGACGAAAAGAATTATGATGATCTTGTCCGTGTTTTATGAAAGAAAATCGACAATATAGAAGGTGATGCAATGTAGGTCAAAGCACACGAAAAGTAAACAAAAAAAGCAAAAATGCGTGTTTGTAAAGAGCGTAATTTTGTAACAGTTGTTCAAGAATTTAATATCGTATCAATTGAGAGTTAACTCACTGAGCATGGCTTCGTCTCATGTGAATATTGTCGTATTTCCGAGAGAAATTGGACAATAAAATATAGATTAGTAATTGTTATTGCTATAATTCTGTAAGAATTTCGACAACAATGGAAATTCGACAATATTGTCGATATGCCGGTAGAATTTCGAAAAATTTTGAAATTCTACCTGAATATTCGACATTGCCGAAATCCCGATGGCGAAATTCTTATTGTCGAAATTTCATAGAACCGTCTGGAGAATGAATGTACAAAACGTGGTTTAGGAAAACATATTGTTAAATATTATGGTTTAATTAGTGCTCGAACTGGATATGAAATTGAAGAACTTATTTCGAAAGTATTTTTCGTTATTGGTCACAACATGGTTTGTCTCGATTTTTTTCATTTCTCTTTTTTCATTTGAATATAAATGCATATAGGTGGTGTTTATTTACTTAGTGGTACAAATGTTGGAAAAAGTAGTTTATTTAATAGTCTTATTGATTCTGATCTTTGTCATATTCATGCACTTGATTGTATTCAACGTGCAACTCTATCAAATCTTCCTGGTAAGAGATTTATTATGAAACTTCTTATAGTTTTATTGTATTATTTTAGGTACAATAATGAATGTTCTTCGTTTTCCAATCCAATTACGAACTGGAAAAAATCAATTTATGCGTGAAGAACGTTTAAAAGAACGCGAAGAAAATGAAATTATTCCTGATGAAAATAGTAATTCAATTGAAAATGAAACAACTATTGATCGTATGTTTCTTCTTTGTCTTCTAATGAGTAAAATACTAAAGATAAATTGTTTAGAAAATGTTGAATCAACAGTAAAATGGCGTCGTCGATTTGAATTTGAAATGAATTTATCAAAAAGTGGTGTATCATATACATATTCATCTGGTGAAAATTCTTTTTATGAAGATCGTTCATTTGAATCAAGTGAACATAATTATATAAATTATCGACAAAAGAAAATGCGAGCTTTTAATCCTGATTCATATAAAGATGAAAAATAGCTTTATGATATACTTGGAGTTATTTTACCTGAACAAGTACGAAACAAATATTTTGTTTCTATTAAATTTTAATCTATTTTTTATTGAAGATGATTAATAAATGTAGTAATCAAAAAGAACTTTCATTTTTCGATCATCAATCAACTATTATTCGATCGGTGAATATTTTATTAAATAGCGGACAAACGATATTGATCGATGGAATTGAAGAATTGATGTAAAACATGTTAGTTCATGATATGTGTCTTTTCTTGTTTAGTAATTGTCATTTTTTTTAGATAAGTCATGATGCTCGAGCAAATCTTTCTTTAATGAAAACATCTCGTTTACCAATTAATGTGATAGAAACAAAAGATTGTGAGCAGTTTTATGAAAAAACTCTTGGAAAAAAATCAATTTGGAGTAATGAATTCCTTTTTCTTGTATATAAATAGAAAAGAAAAATTTTCTAAAGGCTCCACAAAATCATATCAATGGTCGTCTTCAAGATCCACCTCAACTTCGTGGACCAACTATTGAAATTCTTGGCACTGGAGAAGAAGAAGCCGCTGGTGATATTGTTTTGTCTTGAGCAGGTAGAGATTTTTCTTTTCTATTAGATTTATATTAGACATAACGATGTATTCAGAGGTCGATCTTCACCCTACTTTCTCTTGGGGAATATCCACATTCAACATTCTCGATTTTCAGCCATATCCATTCTCTTTAATCAACATACTATGTGAATAAATAGGATCAGAATTTTTCTTGTTTAGAGTCTGTCTTGTATCATCAATTCATTGTCTTTTTTTTCCATGATTTTTATATAAACTCGCTAGACGATGGCCTTAACTTTAGGTTGGGCTAGTGTTCAATGTAATCGTGATCGATATGTAATATTTGATGTAATGACACCAGATAGTCTTGGGATTCATCTATCGGCAATCACCATTACTTAAATATTTATTTCATTTACGTGGGTCATATATAGAATAAACACCATTTTTTAACAAACATATCTATGTAGAAGATCAACAACAAAATGAAGATAATGATAAATATCAAACAAATGAACTTGAAATGATTATCAATGAAAAACTATGGAAAGATGAACAAATTAAACATCGACGACGAGCAAAACGTACATAATTTATTTGTGTTTTTTCCGTTTTCTGATAATTAAAATAAAAACAATAAAGTGAATAATTTGTTCACTGAACAACCAACTAATGTCAAATTAAACCCGAGCAAAGACAAAACAAAAGGTCTTTGTTATCCAAAACTAACAGATTAAGTGTATATAACCCTATTGAAATAAGACACAAATTCTCAAAAAAAAATGGAACAGTTAAAAAGAAAACTAATAATAGGCAATAAAACATTTAAGCTTAGACATTGTTCAGTAATCATGTGTTCAACAGTTTCTTTTAATTACTATGAGTAATTAGTTATTAGATAAAGAATCCAGTATAGGTGGTTTCTCTAGAGACCCCAAAATGTAGGGACTTCTTTGTTCAATCAAAAGATCCAGTTGGACTATCGATATTTTCAGATGTTAGTTTGCATTATACTCAATAAAAGTTAACATGAAGATATCGCTATTGAGTGGAAACAAATTCAATAGACTTTTTATACTTCGAATAATAATTCGAATCAGATGTCGAATGACATGTCTTTGTTATAATTAGTTCCCAAACTAAGAAGACGTTCTATTGAACAATCACTGTCGTTCACAATGCAGATCTTCAATATAGATTGAACAAAATGTGTATTCGAAAATCAGAAGATCCCTTACTGATCATGTGATCAGGAGCAGAGCATTTTCAAGATTATTATCTTCGATTGCATAGAGAAGGATCCTAAATGATGCATAAGGTAACCAGATAACTTCTAAACGATTCGTTACATAAATTCGATGCTATAGTAAAAGTGAACAATCAAAACCTGATAAAAATTTTAAGAATAAAAGATAAAATTTTATTGTTCAGACTTTATTACTAAAGTTCAGATAAGTACATAGGAAAAATGTACATTAGAAAAAAATTGGGAAGAATAGCAAATGTTATTTATCAATGTTATTAAAAAATATATAGAATGGAAGAAAAAAACGAACAAACAATTATTTTTCTTATATTTATCTTGTACCTTCTTTTTTCCTTTTTATGGCTAACTCACGCGTACGTTTTTGTGTTCTTTGCATCGAAGATCGAAATGTATATAGATTGCTGCAGTCAGCACAACAAAAAAAGGGAATGATTATTGGACGAACATTCAATATTTCATTGCAATGATTGAATAGGAACTTTTTTTTGTTGACTTTGTCCAGTTTGTATGAGAAAGAAACGAAAATGTTTCTGTGTATTCCGCATTATATATTGACAAGCAAGTACAAACAGCATTTGAATGTTTTATCATACAATATACTGTGAGATAAAATACTCCGGAGTCGTCTGTATGAATTTTCTTGTTTTTTTCGATGTTCTATTTTGATTAAGACATAAGAATTATGCAAACAAAGCGTAGAAGATTACGTCCTTCTTCTGTATTTTTATAGTCTAAGTATAAACTAATTGCTTATTGCATGCATATAATGTATACTGCTAAAAGTTTCATCTTAATTGTCTTTGAAATCGATCAAAATCTAACGAAAAAATCCGAATGTGTTTTATTTTCCTTATAGAAAAGTATTTAATTTCTTCCTTCGAATTTTTTTTTTCTCATATTATCATTTCATTTGTGAATTGTAGAACATACTTTGATTTTAATTGGACAGATTAATGTTGTGCAATACGAAATGTGGTGATGTGTTTTAAGCAAAAGCAAGAAATCCAGCTCTATCTCACCAATAACAATTTGACCGACAGATTTTTCTTACAAACCAATCTTTTATAAACAAGTCTATCCCTCTTTAAAGAATAGCTTTTTCATATTTCATTTTTTTTTGTCAAAGACTTCAATTTTTAGAATTAGCATTTGACAATGATTTTATCTAAGCGTTTTTAACAGTAATACAACTGTTATTGGCCTCTTTATTAGCAAAATCAACTTTAAATATTGAATGAAAATATTTTTGATTTCCAAATAATAATTACTTAATTACCAAAGAATCTTGTTTCACTGAAGTGTAAGATTTACATGTTTTTCTTTATTTTAAAATGAATTTCTAATTTAAGTAAAAACTGCTTGAACTGGACTATTATTTATGTAATCTCGAAAAATGCTGAGAGTTTCTTTTTCTAAATATATTTAAACGAAATAAAAAAAAAAAACATTTTATATGAATAGAGAAGCATCCACTTGTAAATTAATGCCAACTAATTTTGATCCATGCTTCTCCACAGATCATTTTTCCTTCGATGTTTGAACGTGTTAAAATTGTAGCTAATTCTTGAGCAATATTATATTTTATTTCTTTTGTTTGCAAATGTTTTGGTTCAGGTAAAAAGTTTTCAATTAATTCTGTAAATGTCATACATTTTTCTTGTGAAAGTAAATTGCAAACTTTATGTTCAGTAATCATTACACTAAAATATACGAAGAGAATAATTTCAAAAAGACAAGAAAAGCAAAAAAAATAAACCTTGGATTTGATGATGTACTTGATAAAGACATAAGATCGGATTCAATTGTTCGCATTTCTTCTTTTTTCGTCTTTTCATTATCTTTTTCTAAAATGAAAATAAATTGTAATGTTGATTCTTTTACTCGATTGAAAACAGAAATATAGAGATCGAAAGAGTTTTGATCAGGTTCATTATACTTATATATCTTTGAAATTATTATAATCAAGTATATGATAAAGATAAAAATACGATATTTTCTATAAGAATAATTGCTCAATCAAATACTAAAAGTCATATTCTTCTAATATTCTATGTAATAAAATTATCGAAGCTTCACATGGAAATACAATGTTGATATTTACAAAGTATATTCAGTCTATTTGATAATGTCTAAAACTGATGAGAATAATCCTCGCATGTTCTATAGTGAGTGTAAATATAGAGCTCTTTATTTTTTTTTTAGTCATGAATAATGAGAATTTTGCAAAAGTATAATATTTATCTTTATTTACTAATTTTACCTTTTTCAGATGGAATTGACCAAGTAGTGTGAGAAGTCTAGATAAAAGAAACATTATCTATAAATTTAAAAACAAATATTTATTTTACTTACAGTAATTGATTCTTTATATGGATCATCTGAATGATGAAAATCATCATCATCATCATCATGTAAACTTGATTTCACATCTACAAATAGATTTTTCATCAATACGATGGTCTTAATTCTAACATGAATTTCAATAAATACCTTTACTAATTGTATCAGTTTTGAGTAATTTACGAAGATGAGATAAAGCAGTAGCTGTTGTTTTACTATTTTCTTCATCATTTTCATCTATGTATAACAAAAAAAAAACAAAGTATTTTTCCTTTATGATATTGTTTGAACTTATAACTTATACCAAGAACATCTTCATCATCAAGTAATTTAAAATCACGTTTGTTTTTATTCGTTGATTTTTTTCCTTTTTTTTCATCATTACGTTCAATATCATCTTTAGTTTCATCAAAATCAAGTGTTTTTTTAACATTTGTTGATATAAATGTATACCAATCTTTAATAGGATATGTTTCCCTATAATGAGAAATGGATATTAGAGCGTCATCTTAATCAAATTTTTTTCTAACAGTAACAATGTTTATCTTTTTCTCTTTTGCTTGTTCTACTATGTAAAAAAAGTTTCATTTTGATGTCAAAAAATAGAAAATATTGTGTAGATTTTATTGATATATTGTTTGCCAAATAAACATTTGTCCTTCTATTGTAATATTAAAGCTACTGAATACCACAAAAATAAATATAATTTTCTCAGTATTTTACTGGAATAAAGTGTTAGCTTTCTTTATTAAATAGTTTACATATCCTATTCAAATGCAGTGTTATAAAGTATACAGATGTATCTGTTTTTGATACTCAATAGCAAATCTGCGGATAAGATTTCATCATCCAAAAAACTTTGTGCAAAAAAGTCTAATTGTTTATTTTTTATGTCTTTTTATGTCAGACAAAAGATCTTAACCTCATCATTAGTTTAGAAAAGGGATTCCTCTCTTATAAAAGAAGAACATTTTGTGGAACTTGAAATTCTATATCTATTGATATAAAAAGAGTAGGTTTTGTAAAATCAAGTTTTGAGAAAATTGATTTTCTATCTTTTGACATCAAAACGAAACTTTTTCTTCCAGTCTAACTTGAAAAGAAAAACAGTCTATCAAACTTCAACAATTTCTTCTGCTACACTCGTTATTTTATTCGAACCTGAATTAAGTAGCTACTCACGATGTGAATAAAGGATTAATTTGTTCCATAAGTGATAATGCTTGTTCAAATACTTCTCGTTCCTCATCATCACATTGAATCTTAAAATTATTAATTTGTTGTGGTTGCATTTGCCATTGAAGTTGAACTGGTATTGAATTTAAATTGAATTGTAAATAACCAACATTAAATTTACCAGATTCAGACTTCCAATAATTACCTATATCAGTTTTAGTTTAGAATTGACATAGTGAGTAAAGAATAACGGATGGGACAACATTTTTCCATTAATTTTCTTTGTCCACTTATATCACATAGGAACATCTTAGACTGTTCAATCATTTTTTTGTTAGAGAGAACATGAATAGTAGTACATATGCATATAATATCTCAATTGTTATGTGTTTCTATTCGAGATTAAGAAGCACTAAAATTATGTGTTGCAAATTTTTATAAACTCTCACAGATAAACAAAAGTACCTTTTTTTTTCAGTTCACTTTTTCATCATCTGATATTCTTTATTATAAGAAAAATAAAATATACTACAAGAAGCAGCATAAAAAAACTCTACAACTTACAAAAGGATCATCTTCTCTTATATATACCATTTCTTTTAAAATAGATAGAATTCTGTATAGCTAATGTTTGACACTGTGAATAAGATTATTTTTGATACACAACGGATTTCTTTTCTTATTACATTGGTTAGCGTATTTCTATCGAAGGCTATAATCGACCACCAAATTTAGATCAAGCGATACATGTCCCAATTCCAACAATATGCAATGAGATAATGTTTAAAACAATGATTCATTAATTGATGAAGTAAGAAAAGGGATTCATCGTCGAACAAAAAAATGATCTTATTCAGTGTCAAACATTAGCCACACAGAATTCTATCCATTTTAAAAGAAAAGATATATATATATATAAGAGAAGATGATCTTTATAAGTTGTAAAGCTTTTCATGATCCTTTTTGTCATATGCTTTGTTTTTTAAAGTAACATATTAGGCGATGAAAAAAAATGAATTAGAAAAGATACTTTTTGTTCATGATAGATTATAAAAAGTTACAACATATAATTTTAATACTTCTTGTTCGTGCTTCTTCATCTCGAATAGAAACACATATGACAATTGAGATATTATATGTATATGTCCTACTACTCATGCTCTCTCTAACAAAAATTGATTGAATAGTCTAGGATGTTCTTATGTGATATAAGAGGACAAAGAAAATTAATGCAAAACTTTTGCTCCATCCGTTATTTATGAATAAAATGAATACCTAATGTTGTATTTTTCGTTATACATGAATAACGAATCCAAAGACCGGGATATTCTACAAGACGATTAGTTGTTAATGCTATAAAAAAAGCGAATACTAATTTTTCTTAAAAATATCTTTAATATTCATGTAAAGAGTCATTGAAAAAAATTAGACAACAAACGACTAAAATAACCTACGTGTAAAATGTCTTTGAACAACATCTTTATTTGATTTTCGTTCAGTTATAAGTTACAGAAGAGAACTAAAAGTAGTCAGCGAGAATGAAAATTTCATGCTCTTTCTAAATATATATTCAGAAATCTTTTTCTGACTTAAACCTGATTTATTGAGAGCAAATCTTTGATGACTATCAAAAATAACGTTTGTACAAAAAACACTAGTTTCGCAGATCTTGCCAAATATATTTCCTCATTTTTTGAACACTTAAATGTAATTAGAGGGAATTGAAAGTAGCGGCTCAGAGCCAGAATTTGATGCTCTTCCTAAATATATCCTTACAGTTTTATTCAGACTTACGGTTAGTTAGCTGTAAGCAAATATCTGGATAGCTAAAAAATATCGTTTGCAATAGGCTGTTTTCTTGTTGTTGCAAATCCTCTAAGAAATATTATCGGATAATTTCTATTTCCTATTTTTGTAGAGTATTTAATGTTTTACAAGCTCTCCGGCTATAATAAGATGAAATTCAAAAACTACAAACATTTTTCGAAATGCTACTCTGCACATAAAACGACATTTTTCGAAATAATTGTTTTTTACGAATTTTCGTATTTAAACTGCAACATATTCTGATGGTTTGCAATGATATGTAGAGAGAGAAGCAAATTAAGCATTTTGTAGAGCAAGCATTCTTCTAAAAACTGGTATATAAAAAGACTTTCCTATAACTAGGATTGAGGCTGCTTTAATCAAAATACGAAAATGCACGGTATGAAAAATTCTGTACAAAGATCGTTTCCATTCGCATCAAAGATTTGCTCTCAATGAATCAGGTTTAAGTCAGAAAAAAAATTCTGAGTATATATTTAGAAAGAGCATGAAATTCTCATTCTTGTTGACTACTTTTATTTCTTTCCTAAAATTTATAAGTGAACGAAAATTAAATAAAGATGTTGTTCAAAGACCTTTTACACACAGGTTACCACTATTTTAATCTGATTTTTTTAACCATCTTTTTACATGATACTTTAACAATTTACCTTTTCTATCAGCTTTAGATTTTGCCATTTTGAATACTGGTTGTAATATAATTGTACCACGTTTAATAAATTCTTTATATAAAAAAAGAGCATATTCATTGTTGGATAATTTATTAGTAAGATCGATCTCATTATGATTCAGTAAGTTAAAAGCTAATCGTGATTTATTACCCTCGGCCACATCACCACCTCTAACGACAAGCCGAAATTGTGAAAGGCTTATAGTAGATAAACTTTCCTTAGACTCGCTGTCGTTTTGAATTTGTTCTTTTATTGATTCCCAAATCAAGTTCAAATACTCGACGAGAACTTTGTCAACAGGTAACTTGGCTTCATCAAACGGAAATGTGTAATGATATAAATAACAATGTGGTTTACCATTCTTCATAAAATCAATTAAGAAGAAAAGGCACGGACCTTAAGAGTCCGTTTTAATAGTATCATCACTACCCAGGTCTATAGATACGGCTATTCGTATTTTCACCGTAATTTGCTTCATACGGCACCGTAAACGGACCGTATTTTCTCGTAATCATTGGCACAGTAAAACGGCCCCGGATACGAGGCGGNGAACTTCAAAAAAGAATAAACTTATTGGATTATTACGAACATGCGTTATTGAATGTTGTGGTGATCGTAAAGCAGCTAAATAAATTGTGAGAACTTCTTTTTCATTTGTCCAAATTTTTTCGAAATGTTTTAATACATCTAATGGTGTTAAATACATTTGACTGGACATCATTTTTGTTAACATTTCTTCATCATCATTATCATCATCTATTGCTTCATCATTATTATTCATTTTTTGTTTTGATTGCCTATCATCAAAAGAAATAATATTCGTCAATTGAAATAAGAATTTTATGTCACATTCATATCTAGTATTATGTTGTGTAGATTCAAGTAAACTATCGTGCATATACGCTTCAGTGAAGACTTCAAGACTCTATGGCATCATCACTAGAAATCAACGAAACTTACTCAATCTCATTGTGTCCAAAATTGAAACTAACCAGACGATTTCACACACTGATTAAACAATTTTCAAGCTCATATCTTACTAGTAATTAGGACTACAGGAAGTAGAAAGAATTTGGTTCCTGTAAACCTTTCCTAACATTATCACCGTTAATGATTATTTAAGTATCCTAAAAGTTTCAGATAAAATTATTTCACTTTCATCTGAAACTCGTTAATTTAATTGTTTGCTAAACATCTTGTAACAAGGGGAAGTTTTATGACAATGGTGATTATGTCGAGAAGAAGATCTATGAGAAAAAACTTTCAATGAATTGATGGAATTATCTAATAAGAAAAGGCAGTTTTGGATATGAAAATTCTAATTTCGTACTCTGCATACTCTGCAAAACAGCTTAGTATGCAGTTGTCCAGAATTGTATGTTGAGCTGAGGAAAATACTTCAAATTTGACATAAAGAGTGTTCTGTATTCAATAAATAATAGTTAAATTTATTTTTTAATATGCCGACAATGAAACGAAAACTTATTTTCTTGATTCTTTTACTTCTGTAGAAAAGTGCACTAATAAATTTTCTCAGTTTAGAAAGTTTCAATACTAGTGAAGCCTAAACAGGTAAACTTAGTAATAGTTCTACTCGATTACATTGCTCAACAGGAAATGGAAAAATTGTAAAAACTTAAAATAGACAGAAGGAAAATAATGGAAAGTGTCAGAACGCGAACCTACCAAATACCAGAGAACATATACGCGAAAACGAAAATAACCAGTACATCATATAGTGAACTTAACTACAGCAAAATATAATTGTACACATTAAGTTTCCTCGACATAACTAAACTAAAGATAATTAGTAAAACTGATAAGTCGCACATTGATCTATCAAGATGTCCTAACTCCTTTCAATATTTGATCATTTATCTATTCTACACGTTATTCTTTATTAGAACTAATAGATTGTTAAATACACTAGATATTTCGATTTCCATGATTATGGAAAGGATAGTATTAGAATTCCAAAAAAAGCTATTAATAAGAAAAAAATTCGTTTAATACTTACCGAACATTAGATATGCGTTCTTGATAGGCTTTTATTTGTTTATTTGAAACTCCTTGAGAATAAAAAAGTTTTGTATGTGAATCTGCACGAAGTGCATGTGCAGGTGTATTACAATTTGGACAAAATTTTTCTGCGAAAATAAATATTAATTGAAAAAATTTTCTATGATAAAAAAATACAAACTTTTTGCTTTAAATGTTCGTGCTTCGAAATCTTTAATAAGGTGTTGTCAAATAGCTAATCAATTTTTTGTTGTTGATTCTATTTTAGTTGATGATGGTGGATTTAATTTCATATGTTCGTTGATCTGTTCATAAAATGTATCTAAAGATTTTCTTTCTAATACCCATGTTTTATAAATGGATTGCAAATTATCTATTTCATTAGTTTGACTATGTTTTAAATAAAGCATTTGCATACTAAATAAATATTTTTCTGCATTTGAACATTGAATTGTATGATAATAAAGACAACAACCACGCAGAACCTTGAAAATTATAAAAATAGAATCTATATATATATAAATTGAAAAAAGTCGATTCATTTTCATTTACATGAACAAGATTTCGAAAGAAAACTGGGTTGTAAAGAGGTAAAACGAGAGATATATGTCCAAGATGTCCTGGACAAGCAACAAATCCTTGACCACAAGTAAAACAACGATCATTTTTATCAAATGGTCCTAATGCTAAATCATATGAACCACCGAATACTGATGCACCGAGACGATCAATTGCTTGCGATGATGTTAATTCTTTTACACTTAAACGATGAATTTCTTCAGATATGTAATTACTAAACAGAAGACCACCAATTGTGGTATCGGATGGATAATAATTGATTGTATCCATCTTGTTTTCTATTTTGAAAATAAATGAACTAAAAATTCATCGGATGGATATGGATTTCAGATCCATCTCAAACGTGAATGGTTCGTTAGAGAGAACCGATTAGAAATTATACCAAAATTTTAATACATTAAAAACTGAGAAAATTTCATTTTAATAAACGAGAAATTTCATTTATATCAAAAATGAAAGTTTTAAACGTTCCGACAGAGGACGCCATAAGACGGTATCATATTTCTGGTTATCAGCGTTTTCTACTTACACAAAAGATTATGCAAGTACTACTAATATCATTATATGTGTTCTTATGTTGCACACAAACTGATATTCGTAATAGAAAAATGAAGCTTAACCAATCATAAACGCTTCTATCCGTGTTACTAGTCCTTGCATATTGAGAGAGTTGAAAAATCGACTTTTTTTTGCGCCAGACGGATCGAGCTGAAATTTTAGGATATGAATTATGACTAATAGTTACACATTTTGTGAAAGTTTCATCTTTATACATATAATGGTTGCAGAGATATTTATTTTTATATTTATGGTCCCTAAAGTTATTTGGTTCTTCATATGTGTTTCCATTGATAATTTCTTCAATCCTTAAATATTTCAAAAGATGGATTTGGTAAAAAATTGCCAGAAGTCTAAATAAAAACTGTCAAATCGTAAGTCGATTAAAAAGTATTTATTTTATTTACAGTATTTGATTTAATTGGTCCTTCATCATTAAAACCATCCTAATCATCAACACATTTATCATTGTCTGAATTTAATTTTGCCTCTAAAGTTATTTATGCATACGAATATTCAGTATAATGTCCTTGATGACCATCATTAACTTGTGTAAATACATGAGAAGACGAATCAAGAATAATTGAATCCCTTTTTTAAAATTACCAACAATTTTTTAGTTGAAATATTCTATTTTAGTATTGATATATTTTAACAGATGTAATCAGTTGACAAGAAAAGAAAAAACACTAATAGTTATTGAAAAGAGTAAAAAAACTTATATTTGACAATAGAATAAAAACAGAAGAAAGAATAGATATATATATATTTGATGTATATAAAAACATGATCTAACTTGAACAGTAGTATTTTCATGAACAATAATATTATTTTCTGCTTCTTTTTATTCAATAATTGGTGTATCATGTGTTTCATTCATTTTTTTTATTTTATTTTTTTCGTTTGATCTACATCATTTCGTTCTTCATTATCATTTGTCGTTTCTTTTGTTGGTTCATCTTCATGTTCAAGTTCAAGTTCACTTTTTTTACTAAGATCATTTTCTGTATCATTTGCAATTACTGCTGATTCTTCTTTTTCACATTCATTTACTTCTTTTAATGATACATTATTAACTCGACCAAGTGAAAGACTTGTTGGAAGTACAGTTGTATTTGTATCCGTAACACTTTCTTGTTCGTCAGTTGGTAATACAATTTCTGTTTCAGTTGTTGTTGCTGATATTGGAGATTCTGTGATTGATTTTGATCTTAAACAAATAATATCCAATTGTAATGTATTCATATGAAACGACTACTTACAATTCAAATACAACATCATCTGGAATAAATGAAAGTGCTCTATTAAATTGTTCAAATTCTTCAGGTGTACATGATCTCTTAAAATTCTCAATGCTTGTCGACTGAAATTTCCATTGTGATTGCGATTTGCTTATTGATTTAACATTGAGATTTGTTATTGCAATGTTAAACTTTCCAGAAACAGATGTCCAAAAAATTCCCATTGAAGCAATTTTCAATTGAGAACAATAATTGATCCATAGACTTGAATAATCATCAGTATTCTCAACTTCATCATCTACAAATAATCGTATATTAATATGTCTGAAGATATTTTAAAACTAACCATCAGATCCTTCTTCACTTCCAGGTATCATCAGTACGGGTTTTATCATTATTATTCGATTTTTAAGTTGTTGATAGAGATACAAAAGATCATTATCGACGAAATCTTCATCATTAATATCAACTAGATTGTTAAACACATTAAAACAAGCTTGTCGAATATTAATACCTTCATTTAGATCACCACCAGTTACTAATACAAACATATTTTTAATGCATGGTTCATTGAATTCATCCATCATTGAATTAATGCCGAGAAAATCTTTAAGCAGGTCAAATATAAAGTTCAACAACCATCGAATTATTTTTACTTGTGGCATTCCTTTTTCATCTTTATGAAATGTATAGTGATGGAGAATGCAAGTTTGTTCTGTTTCAAAAATAAAATCAATGATAAAACACACGCACGGACCTAATGAATCTGTTCCAATACTAGTTGTGCTCAGTTTTGCTTCACTTTGATTATCAACAAAAACATCAACTTTTGCTATTTGAATAAGATCTGTATCGAAATTTATATTAGACATTGGTTTTCGATGAATAAGAATAAAATTTCTAAAGAGAAAAAGATAATGAATGGAATATAAATAGTTTGATATATTATAAAGAATTATCTAGAAATTTATGTAGACCAAGTCGACAATTCAATAGAATAGAATATATTCGAACAGATAACACGACATAAATCGAATAATTGTTTTTCTTTTCAGTGCGATAGTATTCGATAGCTAAAATGTTTATAGTGACAAATAGAAAGAATCCATTCATCACACAGAAAGTGACTAACTGACTTACTTTGATTAAATAAATGAGATTCTTTAAAATTTTTATCGAAACTCTCGAAAACTATTAAGTCTTTTAATTTATTAATTGTTTCTTGTATGAAATTCATTTTAAAATAATTTTGTTGATTATCTGTCTCAAGTGTAAAAAGTGAATTGCTTACTTCGAGCTAATTTTTTCCAGAGCTTTTTCGTAAAACTACAAAATCTTTTGTTTCTATCACATTAACTGGTAAATGAAATGTTGTCATTAAGCGAAAACTTGTTCGAGCACCATCACTCATCTATAAACATGAATAATTATTTAACAATAAATAATAAAAAAAAACTAACATCAATGAACATGTTTAACATCAATACTAGCAACTTGATCAATTAATATCATTTGACCAACATCTAATAAAATATTCACTGGTCGAATAACAATTGATTCATCGTTGAAATTTGAAAGTTCTTCTTTTCTACTACATTTATTGATCATCTACAACAAAAAGAAAATCGAAATTTGAATAAAAATAAGATTTTTTATTTCATACTTGTTCAGATAAAATTATACGAATCAAGATTAAATGCTCTCATTTTTTGTTGTTGATAATTAACATAATTATGTTCACTTAATTCAAATGAATGATTTTCATTAAATGCATTTTCACCAGATGAATATATATATGAAACACTATTCTTTGGTAAATTCATTTCAGATTCAAATCGACGATGCCATTTCATTGTTGATTTAATATTTTCTAAAATTTCATCTTTCATATCTTGTTCATTAAAAGAAAAATACCTACCAACAATTGTTGTTTCACTTTCAATTATATTTGTATCTTCATCAAGAACAGGTTCATTTTCTTCTCGTTCTTTTAAACCTTCAGTACGCATAAATTGATTTTTTGTTCTGCTTGTAATTGAATTGAAAAATGAAGAACATTCCATCGTTGCATCTAAAATTAAATCAATGAAAAGAAGATATTAATCAAAGAAATATATTTTACCAAGAAGATTTCATACAGTTGCACATTGAACACAATCAAGTGCTTGAATATGACTAAGGTCAGAATCAATCAAACTGTTAAATAAACAACTTTTTCCAACATTTGTATCACTCAAAAGATAAACACCACCTGAATACTTTTATATTAAAGTAGAGATTAGACGAAAGAGGGACAAACCATATTGTGATTAAAAACGAAATACTTTCGAAATAAGTTCTTCAATGTCATATCTAGTTCGAGCACTAACTAAACCATAGTATTTAACTAGATGTTTTCCTAAACCATGTTTTGTACATTCATTTTCCAAACATTTACGAACATCAGATAAATAAGATTCACTGTCTAAAATAGAAGTGTATTATTCATTTGTATAGATTCTTCATCTCAATTCTACCTTTTGGTAATAGATCAATTTTATTACCAATAACAAATATCATATTTGATGAAGTCTTTTGATTATTCCCTTGACTGAAGACCGGGTCATACAATAAAAAGAACAAAATAAAAAAGTTTACCTGTGGGTTTGCTTCAGAGCCAAAGGTCAAACACCAGAGATTAAAATATCTACAATGGAGAGTTAGCCCCTAAGATTATTTAACTGGTGGAACTTCATTTAATCCCGTTTTTTTTTAAGCTGAAAATTCAGTTAATCAAAAATTTTCGATATCGGGCCATCGTCCGATCATCTTTTTTCATGCTGGAAGTTTAGCTAATGAATATTTTCCGTGCTTAAAGTTCAGTCAATCAGAATTTTCGTAAGAGAAGTTCAGCCAAACAGATGTTTTCGCTCTCTATCTCCCGTTGAATCAAGTTTGTTTAATATCTCTGTCCAGTTTATTTTCTTTCTTTTGATTGTGGTCTTAGTAGCCCATTGGGTTATGAACAATCACAATTAGACGGAAGACATACTAACCGGCTTCAGCGGAACATTCTAGCAGTTGTTTTTTGGTACGCCCCTAAAAATATGGGCCAAAGACAATCGTGAGCGGGCAATTAGACATCGACGTTGGTTTTGCAGTTTTATTTTTCTGCTATTTTTTAAAAATATTAGTAATCAAAAAAGAACTTCGCAGAAGATAATCATAAAAGAGCTCAGAACTGGGCCCCAAACTTTTTAGAAATCTGTGCAGAACTTGTGAGGTACCCATTTTTTGTGTATGTTTAGATTCTTTGTTAGTATTTCCATGCTAATTAAATGGGAAGAAAGTGATGAGCAATAATATCCGATCCATTCCTCATGAGATATAACACAAATGAGATTATAACATGTATAAATTTGACTGTCGCTACATTTTCCTTAACAACTTACTATGTATGATACATACCTAAAGATAGAAATCGAAGATGAAATTTTGTGTGAAACTAAAATATAGATGTTCGAAATAACAAAGATTCGTATATAGCTTTGAATTTGATAGACTTTTTTTAAGAGATCAAGACAATATATTCCATGCGGAGATAATTGTGTAGTATCTTTATTTGTTTGAATATTCCATCAAGAATTCTCTCATTGAATATGAAGAAAGGTAGTGCGATGAATTAAGGAGGTAAACTATGGAGATTGTACATAGGAAAGGACCGTCAATTAAGGAATTATATGGAGCTATGAGAGCGACTACTTGTGAGTAGTGCTCCGGAGGGGCATCGACGAACGACTAGTCGCTGATTGCAGAAGTCTATTCCAGCTGTGCTTCAGAGAAGATCCGTAGAAAATCTTGCATGTTTTTTAAGATGATCCATCAATATTTCGTTAATAAAAAGTATGAATACAACCCCAATTTTATAGAAGAATCGTGCCTTTGAAACTACAATGACTAATTTACAACAAAATCTGTTCTTTAGAGTTTCGTATAGAGAATTTTTCTACTTAAAATCCAACAGTTTTTTTAGTAGAAGTGAAACGTGAATCGGATAGTTTGTAAATGCAAGAGGATAATTAATTTAAGGAAGAATTCTTAAGACTTACACCCAAGCAGACAAAAATTTCAAAAAACGCGTTTAAACGCACAATCGGGAACCGCGACTGTGATCCACTCACGCTCATTAAAAAAACGCAAGAAACGACGTTTTTTGTGCAAAATAGTCAATTTTCAAGCGAGAAAACGGCAAAAATATGAAAAACTGAGCGTTTAAACACGTCCTTTTTTAAATCTAGAAAAAGAGAACGTTTTAACGCTAGAAATTTAAGTTTTCCACCGTTTTCACGCTTGAAAAGTGACTATTTTGTACAAAAAACGTCGTTTCTTCCGTTTTTTTAATGAGCGTGAATGGATCCCAGTCGCGGTTCCCGATTGTGCGTTTAAACGCGTTTTTCGAAACTTTTGTCTGCTTGGGTAGTGACTTGTCCAGAATCGTTTTATGATTAATAGTACTGAATTTTGAAGACAATACCTTGTGGATGCATATCGAACAACTCAACCATGGTGGATGGTATATCATCGGTATTTTTATCTAAGCTTGCACTCAGATTCTATTATTAAGTTTCGAAAAAATATTTTCACATTGAATATTATCTTTTCAATATTCTTGAAGATTATCTATACTGCTTATATGTGCAATACAAGATTTAGGAAAAAAAAAACATTTTGTTTTCAACTATTAGCTAAAAAATTGCCGACTGACTTATTCATCTCTATAGCAACAGACCAGAGAAATTTCTTAAGGTGATTTACATTGATTAAACTAACAGTGTAGTTAAGTTCTCAGAAAAATACAACAAATATGTTCCTCATAATACTTTGTACTTTTCTACTATTGTCTTACTCTTATAAATTATAAGTAGTGTAAGAAAAATCAATTTCAAATTTACATATTCATCAAGTTGTCTAAAGTCGTCTAGTTTTTTCTACATGTTTCTAGATAAGACACCATTGTTATTAACTTGTCTTCGCATCTTTGTCTATGATTAACAACTCAAAATGCTTTTCTTCTTCTAGTGGAAGATAAATATCAAATCGTATTATTATGATTAAATTATTTATTGAAGTTTTAGTTCATATTATATAAAATAATCGACATAAAAATGAGCGAAAACTTTCAAAGGGGGCTTAGCTCACACGGTAGAGCGCTCGCTTTGCATGCGAGAGGCACCGGGATCGATACCCGGAGCCTCCATTTTAACTTTTATTTTTATTTAACAAAGATAAATATTTATTTCAAAGGTAAACGAGCAACTTGTCGACATTTATGCATTGTAGCTCTTAAAATAAATTATTTTTGGAAAGAGTTCTCTAACATACTAAAAAAAGAAGAAACATATGAAAATATTTTTAATAAGCAAAGAAGAAAAAAAACAACAAACTTTTAAATAAGTATCTAATTGAATAGATTTTCTTCTAAGTCCATCATAGGCAAGATAATATAATAAATCTTGAATTGCATGTTCTTCATCATATGATTGTAAAAGTCTTTTTAAAAAAATAAATAAACAAAATAAGAAACGAAAAACAAAGAGCTTAATCGTTTGTAAACAGGTGCAGGAGTTATAAGAGCATCTTCTTTAACAGAATTTTCTTTTTCTGATGATGATGATGATTATGATGATGGCACTTTTTCTTTTGTGTTGTTTCTAATATTTCAGTAGTTTTTGCTTTGATATTTGTCAAATAATTCTAAAAAAAGCAAAGGAAATTAAATAGGAGGTAAAAACGCGAAAACTGTGCTTGAATTTGTTGGTGTTGTACATCATTAATAAATAATTGAATTTTTTTCTTACCATCAATTAAATCCTGTTCAGTTGTTTGAAGTGAATCAATTTGTATTAATGTTTCATCTAAACAAGTTCGAACTCTATCTAAAACAACTCTTTGAACAGAATCTCAATAAATATCTTGAGGAATTTGAGTTTGAGTATATTGATTATTAGTCATTAGCATTAGCATTGGCATTGGCATTGATGGCATATTTGTCGGATATAGTGATGAGCGACTCAATATATTAGAATTTGACAATTGAAACTGATTAATTAAATGATTCTGATTCTGATATTGTCTTTAATAAATAAAGTAGAGTAGATAACTATTTGACTGAAATAAAATAAAATGATATTAAAAATAAAATAAATAAATTGATATTTTATATGACGGTAGTTTTTAAGATAAGATATAATAATAGTTCGATCATATTGAACCGCATATTTTTCTTGTTGTTGAAAGATACATATCTGATCAGCTAAACAAAGTAATTCTTTTGAAGTTTCATAATAATAATAATAATAATAATATTAAATTAATTATTGTTTAATTAATAGCTTGATTGATATGTCGACAAACCAAATTTCAATAGGTAGACTTTCAAATGAAAATACTTTGTTTAATAAAAAAGAAAAATTTGATTTGTGTTATTCTTACTCGTACTCGTTGAATAATTTGATCAATTTCATGTTGTGTTTGTTTTTCCATGATTTTTGTGTACTCAAAAAGTGAGTACACTACTAAAATCGGTCTGTGTGTCCGGCCGTCCGTCCGTCCGTCCGTATACACGATAACTTTCGAAAGGAGAGTCAGATCGCGATGAAATTTTCT